AGAATCTGCCTAATAACTATGCACACCTTGATATAGGGTGTTGATCTCCTTAGGCCACACCTTCCCTCGTTACACAAATACACATCACCTGATATGCATTAAATCCAATAAGCATTCAAGTTTATATAGCTTGGAGTTGGAAATTATGGATAAAATGATGACATGGTCAAAATAATCACTTGCCTAATAATTGTACACACAGTGTAGTTGCCCAAAAAGACCTTTAATGCAGGATAAATTTAGGGTTGCACTTAATGCATCTTTGTCTTCCGCTCAGATGCTCTATTTTCCTGCCAGTAGCAGAGGTTTGACTTTTTAGTATTGAACAATGACATAATAAAAGTTACACAACTCAAGGCAACTTAGAGGTTGATGCTCTCAACCACACATGCCATTTTTATTTTATTTTTTTTAACACTACACATAGTAATTCTGCAGTATTTTCAAGCATTGATTTGGTTCTCTGAAAGGACTGCATCAACATTCTTTTGATGGAGACAGAAAAAAAATAATCAGAGGCAACTCTTCCCTGCAATCAAGGTTTCTGGCTTTTAAGGCAGAAAATTAAGCAGATATGTTACAAGTTACTAAATCAGCTCAGCTCTAAGCTTCATTTGTGAGACAGTCTAAAATTTGAACTCGCATTGCAGCGGTGCATAAAGAGCGAATTAAGTGTTGAACTAAACACTGTCAAAAAGTTAACAGGTTAAATCTTTAGGGCAAAATATAGAAAGATCTTTATGGGAAACCATATAAATATCAATTCCGTCTCAACTTTTTAGTAAAAAGTTCACAAGAAGTGATGAGTTTAAATAACATTTACTTGCGCACATCACACACACATACAGAGACAATCATGGTGGTACAGATGAGAGGGTAGCAGTTAAATCACTCCAAATGAATGATGATCATACAGTACAGCTGCATCTCTTGGTCCATACACAACATGAGCAGTCTGCTGTGGTGCCACTCTTGGTCACATCAGCTTTCAAACATACAGGGGGGAAAAAAAAAAAACAGGAAAAAAAAACACAAGGAGCAGCAAATATTATTCAAAACACCAGACCAGGGGCAGGTATGTTCAGAGAAAACAATAGTTTTGGACTCCGAAAAAAATAAAATAAAAAAAATCAAGCTTTAACTATTTACACAGCAAATAACACAGAAATGGTAAATGTAAGAGGGAAGCCAACACAGGGCAGGATGATATCACAGATAACACTGTTAAGGCTCAAGTGTAGCTGCATTTCCTAGCAGAAATCAGAGGTAATGGGTTTTTCACAATCAAACTGTCAACCAAATAATTATTCCGAGAAAAAAAAAAGAAAAAACGAGGACAGCCATGTCACTGACCAATCATCTGCCACCAGCTTCCATTAGTATCTCCCCAGACAGACTTAACTCCCACCATTACTGGGAAACTTTGAACACTGGCTGCGCCCATCATTCCTGCTGCCATGTACTCATTTAGAGAATTCAGCTGAGAGTTGAGCCTCTCGCTGGGGAGACGAGCTCCTGTATTCACCATCTGCTGACAGCTTGAGAGATGGCACACAGCGTGCGTCCACCGCCCCACCCACCCAGCTCAACCATCCAGGTGTGGTTTAGACTTTCAGAGACATTCAAAATTCAACTTAGCAACACGGACCTCACATAAACACAGAAAATACTCAACTCCTGGACATATGAGGGAGAGGAGACTTGAAACGGCATCTTATACAAGTGAGAACAAATTAGTGTGCCCTCCAAGTGCATCAACTCAACAACCAGTGTGGAGAGAAAAAAAAATAATCAAAAAAAAAAAAAAAAAAAATGGACTCATACAGGCTGGAGGCTGTGGATCAAAAGACAAACGACGTGGAAAAGTTAAGGCTTGAGAAAATATCCCAGAATGGTAAAAAGCTTCACCTCATAATACAAAGTCAGGTACATACATCAATCATTGGTGGATGGAAAGCTGCACGTTACCCAATGAGAAAATTGCCTGAATCCAGAAAAAAGTTTAACAGCAAAATATACAACCCTGTGGTAGTAAGGGGGGAAAACAGAAAGAAAACCACCACAACACAAAACACCATCTCATTAAACAAACTACTGAACTTTTTACATGGAATAAGCGAGGCCATTTTAAAAAGTAGAGCCTTTGAAGTAAAGCTTTTTATACTTATGCAAGTCCCTTTGCTTGAAATTGTGAACAGCGTGACATTTTAGTGAGATGTTTGACTGTTATAACAAAAAGCGGCCTATGGGCTGCCACTGAAAAACTGTAGATCTGCTGATACACCACACTCAAAACAAGAATTTAAAAAAAAAAAATGCTTAAAAGAAAAGACTTCATTAGCTAATTAACCATTTTTTCTCGCTGTACATGTTTTTAAACAGGAAATTTAAAAATCAAATAAAAAGAGGAAAAAGTAAAAACTTAATTTACAAACATGGTATAATCATACACTCACGCACGGAAGAAAAGAGAAGAAAAAAAACAACAAACCAAACAACCAATAATTTCCCATGGAGTGACAACTGTCCAGACAGCAACAGGCTGCACTCCTCAGCGCCCTCCAGGGGTCACTCACAGGAGCACACAGGGGACAAGTCCAAGGACCGCCAAGCTACAAAGTCCGTTGGAAAAGAAGGGGAGGAGATGCACTGTGTCCTGGCTGTTGAATGGCTACTCATAAGGCAAGAAGCATTCAGCTGTACTTTTAAAATATACGCTTACGCTTAAGGTAGGAGTCTGCATAGTGTCCACCAAGGCCTTGGGAGTGCTGGCCCACGTAGCCACCCTCAGGGCTTGGTTCTGGGGAGGGGATCAGCCGGGAGAAGACACGCTTGTGGCTGCCAATGGGTGTCTGGAATAGCAAAAAAAAAAAAAAAGAATCAGTGAAGAGTAACTCGTCGTAAAAGCAAAAACAGTGCACACGAAGTTAAAACTCCTAAAAAACAATTAGCCTCTACGTTACCTTCATAACATTCCCCAGGCCTGGTGGGAAGCCAGTGGTGTGGCTCACAGGAGGCATCCCCACAGCCTGAGGAAAAACAGGCAACTCTCAGTGACCTAGACTTCTGCTATTCAGGCACTCACAGCGTAACATTAATTATTTAACACCGGCTTATTCTTGGAACCTAACCCTCTGCTTTTTATCTCCTACAGTGCTACCTTCATGTTCTGGTGCTGACGAGTAATCAATTGCTCGAAAGAAAACAAGTCTAAATCAGTTCAAAGCTTTGGGCTTACCCTGTTGAGCTGTGTGGTTGGGAGGCTCCCATTACTGGAGGCCTCGGGCCCTGAGCTGAAGTATGAGGACAGGGGAGGGCTGGAAGGGTAACTGAAGTGGGAAAACCGCTCACTGTATTCAGGGAAGCGAGAGAGCTGCAGAGACAAACAAGTTTGCACCTGTGTTACTAAAGCGCAATGTGCATTTGTTTTAATGACACTAAAAAAAAAAAAAGATGCTACAGCCTGCATGAAGTAGTTCACTCAACACTACCTGCTGACCGAATCCTGCCAAAGCCCCGGCATCAAGGTTCTCCTGCTGCTCATACAAGTGGGCCAGGGGATCCTGAGGAGAAATGCCAGATGAGACCACATTATATCACCTAATAAATGGGCAGCAATGAGCACTCACGCACTATGCTGTAGATTCAACAGGTCACTGTGACTTGCAAAGCGGCACCGAATAGGAACGATGTAAGTTTTAAAAGTCAAAGAGCAGAATGTACCTGGTGTAGAGGAGGATACTCAGGGCTGTAGGAGTCCTGGTAACGCAGGCTGTAGTTTGGCTGTATGCTCTGGTGTGTGTGCTGGTTGGACACATTGCTCAGTGTGGGCCTCTTCCTATAGGGGTGAGGTCTGCAGCTTCCTGCTGGAGTAGAGAAAGGGCAGTTAGATATTATATGCTGGATATGCTTATCAGAATACCTAAGTGGATGCGGCAAACAGGAACAGACTGCTGATCAGGAAAATTTGACCCACAGAGCAAAACAAAAAAAAGCACCTCACCTGAGGAAAAAACACTGTTGACATTGAGGAAAGCACTCTGGGGAAGGTTTGCATCCTTTGGAGGATCTCCAAGTATTGATACCTGACAGGAGGGAAAAGGGAGATTCTGTTTTTCTTTTCCCATTTTGAGAGGGCAAAAAAAATTTAAAAAAAAAAAAAAAAAAAAGATATACAAAAAAAAAGGTGGACAAAAGTACAAGGAGCTCAAAACATTATGGAAAGTAGTTGGGATCTCACCCCTTGTGCTGTCAGGCCATCTGCCCCCATCATGCCACCCAGCAGGGGCAACGAGATGCCCTGTAGGGTGGGAGAGGAAGTCTGGGGGAAGGCGCCTGCTGATGTGGGGGACTCCTGCTCCCTTGCCATGGCTCTACCAAGTGGCATTGGCTTTAGGGGGGGCAGAGGATCTGTCTGCAGACCCAGACCTGGGACTACACCACCTAGGGGGGGGAAATGGAGCCATCCATAATATTAATGTCACCGTTAATCACTGGTCATTCTGGCTACCACTCATACGGCAAAATGATTGACCAAATCACATTCATACTGAATTTTCCAGCTATAGAATTCTGTAACATCACACTACTCCTCCTCATCTAGCAAAATGAGCAAAACACCACAAATACAGAGTAGTAAGCATGATTAACAGGCAAAGGGGGATACAGATGTTTATCGTCAGAGGCAAAGTAAAAACACGCAATTTGTGGCTCAAGGAGCTACGGCTGGAGCTGACGGATGCCAAACCTTGGGGCAGGTCTCCGAGCAGATGGACACCCTGCTGGACAGGCAGAGCAGCCAGAGGATTCTCCCCGATGAGTCCAGCCTGCTGACCAAAGGAGAGAGGGGAGTTCAGAGTCACAAGAGGGTCACACAGCCCTGCTACAACACTCAAGCACTGAGAGAAAAACAAACCAAAAAAAAAAACTGCCGAGCGACACGAGCACACTTAATCAGCACAGAGGTTTACTCACCACATATGAAATTATGTCCTTTCAGAATGTTTATTTACAATTTTGGCACACGATCGAGTAGTACACCTACCACATCACTCAGCACCACTCAAAAAACACTCGACACATACAACACCTTGCACTGTCCTAGTGACAGCTTACCCAGCCAATGCGTTTTCTAGCAGTCATATAAAAACACCAGAGGGCCGTCCTATGAAGCGAGTTTGACAAAGCCGGGCTTTCTTTGTGTAAGTTGGCTCAACAAAAAACTAAAGCTCCAGAGCTAACAGGTATCACGAAGGTGTTTATCAACTTCCTTTGTTAACTCAGACTTTGTGCCTCCAAGTCTGAGCGCGTTCACATAAAAGGAGTCGTTTTACACGTCAAACACTACAAATGATGCAGTAGGTCTGACACACTGTGGCTTAAGCAGGATATCACTTTCATTTTTCAAATATCTAAGTATGTATATCTAAGCCAAGTTACTGATTGAATGCTGTCTGTAATAAATACCAGTAGAATAATCAGTTTTTTATCAGCTGTAGTACCAGCAGAGTAAATAGATCGAACATAAAAACATATTTATGTGATTTCTGTATGACCAGTTAAATACATGTCGGGTTTCCGTGCCAACATGATGTATATAGTGTGTGATACTGTAACTACACGGCTTCATTCAGTGGTATCCATAAGGTACAGCTCAACAGGTTTGTAGGTAAAGCGTTGTCTCAGCTGAGAATCTGTATTGCTCATAGAGAATAGTCAGTAAACGTTTTGGTTAAAGGGAGATGCTTCTGACAATCGATTTGAATCCTAAACCCTGAACACAACCTGCTCCTGACCAGGTTAGCTCTGCAGTCTAAGTTATCATGGAGATGTAGCAGGTTAAAAAATAAAAAATTTAAAAAAAAAAAGCCACCTTCATGATACCGAAAACTCTGACTTTAAGCTCAACATACCTCGCTAACCTACTAATCTGGCTTCATAGTGCAGCCCTCTGGATCCATCTAGCTTCACCTCACACTCTGATAACCAAACACAAACACCATTATCACTCACACAAGGCACTAGAGGGTTTTCTTTATTGTGCAGCACCTGAGCCCACAGAAGAGGATTTCCCAGAAAGGCTTGCTAATGGTACAGAGGACAGAACAGAAAGTGGGGACGAAAGTCTATATGAGTAGCAGAGGATGGTTCAAAAACAGGCTGAAAGAACGCAAGAAGGAACATGTCAAGGCAAAGAATGAAAGGCAGCAGTACCTGCTGGGCCTTGGCCTGGTTCTGCAGGAGCAGCTGGAGCAGGGCAGCGGAGAGAGCGGGGTTGGCCAGCAGTGGCATTGCAGGGGCCGCTCCAAGGAGGCCTGCACATAAATTACATCAAGATCCACAGCAGCAGAACAAATCTTAGAACTAAACCATTGATTAAGAGCAGCTGAGGCCTTCTCACCTTGTTTATGTCCCTGTGACAGTGGGTTGAGCAGCATCTTGAGGGTGGCAGGGTTATTAAGGCCTGTGAGTATCTGTATGGCAGTGGGATCAGGGAGGAGACCTTTACCCCTGTTTACAGCCTTGAAGGGAGGAAGCACAAGATGAAAATTCAACACTAGAGCAACAGCTAACCACGTGGGGGACTTTGGACATGTGAATACAGTAGATTGATTTAATACCATGGTTTGTGCAGCAATCAGAGCAGCCAACATGCTTCTCCCAGGAGGGCCTGGGGCACAGAAGGACACCCTGATGTGCGTCCCACCCAGCAGCCTGCCATCTGCGAGTCGCTGTGCCTCCTCGGCCATTTCTGCAGTGGCAAACTCCAAGACTGCAAAACGCCGGAAACTTCCATCTTGTCCCTGAGCCAACTGTGGAGAGGAATTTAAACAGTGATTCTAAATCCACAGACATAATCCGCCTAAATGCTGGTACCCATAAGTGCAACACACAGAAGTTATAGATTTAAAAAACCTGTCGTTTTCACTTTTACTTTCAGTGTTCGAAACATATTTTAGCATAAAATCTGAAAGACATTTATGTTAAAAATGTTGCTATAAAACCCTTGAAATGCACAAGAATCACTGCTCAAACTAAATTAAACATGATGAAAATCTCCAAACAAACAGAGGATTTTTTTTCTTTCTTTGTTCACCAACATCATTGTGACTCCTTTTACAGATGGCCAGTTTTGAACAGCTTTTTCTATATCAGCCTCTCATTTAAGACGCATATTAAACAGTAAGGACCCAACCTAAAAAAAACAAACGACGTATCAGAATTTTAATGCTCTTACCAGAGACTGAATTTTATGTACATAATGGAAGATCCAGCTCAAATCTAGAAACATCAAACCATTTGAGTGTTCACTCGCTAATAAAAGTACTCTTCCTCTGACCATGTAGCAATTAGTCTGCTTTTAAGCGCCTTTACTCACCATCAGTGACTAGATGTGGCCTTGTGATTTCATACCATTGGCATTTCACAACATCCAATGGTATAAAAAGCCAGTCACATCTTGTTAAAACTAACACTGGGAAACAAAACTGTTTGTCTGAAATAATCACATGGTTCTAAATCATCACTGCTTTTTCCACAATCCTAAAAAAAAACAAAAAAAGAAACAACCCAGAACCAGCAGAAACCTACGACTGTGCATGCTGCACTAAAAAGACACCCCTCTCTCTCATTCCAGAAAAGCCTGCTGAATGACACCACCTGGGGGAGTCAGGTGGTCATCACCATAGAGACCAGCATTTGCTATTGCTATAGAAACTTTGAGTGGCCACATAAAAAACTGGGGTAAAGGTGAAAGGTACTGAAAGATCAAATATAGAATACGCCATTTGTGACACAACCCTAAAGTTAATCCCCACACACACCTTTGGGGACAATTTTAAATCTTTTTGGTATACTTAGCAGCATATACTTTCCAATTTTACAATTTCATTTAGCAACGTACATCTGAGAATAGATACACATTCACACACCAATGGCAACAGAGCTGCCATGCAAGGTGCCTGGCTGCCATCGGGAGCAACTTTAGCTTCAGTGTCTTGCCCAAGGACACTAACTATGGAGGGGCGGATGATCGAACCCACTCCCACCTGAGCCGCAGACTTAACAGTCACCAAGCTCCAAATGCTCTCCATAAGGGGGTTAATGTGACTTTGCATTGAATAAATTTAAAAGGAGCAACACAACAAAAATTACCGGGGACAAAAGGCCAACAGCAAGTTTCATGTGAAGGCTGTATTCATTATTATTGGTGTAAAATCAAGATCCTGTATTCTCTCTAGGTGTGGTAAACCTGACCTGGCAGAAGACAGGTGCATGGGTGTCAGCCAGGGCATTGCGGAGGTCTTGGGCTGTCAGTAGACTCGGGGGCAGGCGGTCCACGCACAGGCATTTGGAGTGCAGCAGTGGATATGTGAGGGATCCCACCTCAGTCCAGTGGACATACAACATGCGGGAGCCCAGCTGCTTCCCTAAGAGCTCCGACTTGGCCCTGGCTGCTGAGTCCTTCTTCATGTACTCCACAAAGCCATAGCCCTTGGAATGCCCTGTGGAGGCGCTGTAAACCAGAAAGCAGCGCTCCAGGTTGCCAAACGGCCGCACCAACTCCTCAAACTGCTGCTGGCTGAAAGCACGGGGCAAGTTGGCGATGCACAGCAGAGCGTCTGTGGGCTGCAGCTGCACGGTGATCTCCCTGTCCCGTAGCGCATGCTGGTGGAACTCTTTGATGGCACACTGCGCCTGTTCCCCATTCAGTAGTGTCACAAATGCTGCGAGTGATGGGAGACACAGAAGAGAAACACAAAATTTGGTGTAAAGCGAGGAGGCGGCATTTGTTCAGTCAGTATTAGGAAAAAGACCCATTTTCATACGCAGCAGGTCTCAGGGAGCAAACCCTGGTTGTGACACCGTTTCTCCTTCAGCAGATGTGATAAAAGACAATGCCGGTGGCTCGATGTCAGCACACACCATCTTTTCTACCAGTGCAACTTTACCCTTATTGAAACTACAATAGTTGCCATGGTGACTGCTGAGAATCAAAGACATTTTATTTGACTGAGCATCACTGGCAGCAATAAAAAGTCATATCTAGACCTGTATGAGCTTTAATGTTACTGCCACTCACTGCTAATATGCCTGTCTACGGTATAGACAGGTATACTAACGTCACACATGGTGTTGCTGTGTGCCAAACGAACATCCTGCTACCCATGTTTTGAGAGAAACATAAGGGGTGAAAGAATTTATCTGCAGTTAGCTCTGAAATCCACATTTAAAAAGGTAATATCTTTTTTACCAGCCAACTCGATAAAATAATAATTTAAAAAAAAACACATCGAAATGCCACAACAGCTTGGTGGATACCAGGCATATCCTGAATTTACCATCTGGCTCATGAAATTTTCAGGCTCACTATAATCAGCCACTTTCTAGTGAAATATTGCACTGCCAACGTGTAAAGCCATTTTAAATGCATATTCTAACCTATTTGTTAGATATTTTTTTTTCAGTTCAATGGCAAGCCGATCTTTCATGCACTTCGCCCATGAGTAAAACAAGCAATTCCCTCAAATTAACAAGCAGCTCACATTATTGGGCATGTGAGGTTATACACACAAGGAAACTGATGTCCTTGCTGCTCTTGAATTGATGACAATGTAATGTGACACACCATTTGTCAACCAAATAGATAAGCAATTGCATGATTTCCATAATGATGAAACACTGACCATTCTAAACAGTGTCTAAGTGTTTTTGTGGTTTTGTTCTTTTTTGTTCAGTGAGTGACATAATGTGCCAGTGACCTTATCTTTTTTTTCATGGACATAGCCCTTGCCATTGTGAATCTTATCTAATAGTGAGCGGAATTGTCTCTTTGGCTATCCAGTTTATTTTTGTTTCTTTGAAGTCATATGGGTTACAGACACTCCTTTAAACTGAGCTCAAAGCACATGCAATACCCAACATGATGGACAAACAGTTAAACCAACCTGTGCCCTTGTATTTGTCAACAAAGCAGTACTTCAAGTCATAGCTGCCCAACAGTTCATGGACCTCCTGTAAATAAGAAGACAGAATAATTACATACAGACATTTAGGCTTGTCATTGCAACCTGGGTGCCACACATTAAAAGGTTAATTTCTAAGCTGCACTCTGTTAACTGTATAAGGGGAGATTGCTTAATTGTAGATTTTGATCATCCTATAATTAACTCATTCATGTCCACTGGGAAACGAGCAACAAGTGCACCTGTGGGGGAACTGGGAGGTGAATAACTCCCTCATTGTTGCAGGAGAAATTGTTCTGCGCTGCTTTCGCCCATTCACAAACCAACAGCGATGTTGTCTAGCATTTTCTGAAACGTTTTGTCTCCACGCCTTCCACCTTTTGTTATATTGCAACTCACATCTCGAACTCCCATTACTCCCCCCCCCCCACCTCTGTGTGAACAATGGTACCGCCCGCAGGCCCACCGCTCCCCACGAGTCAGGCACGTTCCAAAAAAATGTAGCATCATGAGTAAATCACAGGCAGGCTGATACAACCAGACGGCAGCATTAACAACAGATGGGCCGATGAAAAAGCTCCACTGCACCTGCAAAGCATCCCCTGCAAACATTACAATCACCCATTATTCGGTTTGGAGGCTTGAATTGTGTAATGAAACCACGAATGTCAAAGTTGCTGAACTGTTACCCACAAGGCCGGAGTGTCAGGTCATACAGGCCACAGATGACCATTATTGACAGTTATCTGACCACCTGGCAGTGAACGCAAGTTTTGGTAGCTAACTAATCTAATGCCCCACGACTGAAGTTACTACTAATGGAGTCTGGTTGCCACCAATGACGTGTGTTGTCTTTTAAACTGGCTGCAGATACAATAATGCCAAATATCACAAAGTTAAAGGCAGCTAACGAGGAAAATGGCGAGCAGGCTAACATTGGTAGCATGGCAGGCTGGCAGCTAGGCTAACATTAGCTAAACGGCTCCGTCAATCAATCATCCAACGACTAAACCTCCACTTGGTTTGTAGTTCTTACCTGGTTGCTCACGTCGGAGGGTAGATTTTTTATGATAATTTTCCTGCGGTTGTAAAACTCCCGGCGGGTTCTCTCCAAGCGGCTCTCAATCTCTTCAGGGCTCAGCGATGTCAAGTCCTCGTCGACCCTTCGCTGACACTCGCGTCCCGGAGTTACGTCCTCTTCTCCGTGTACTAATTCGGCATACCGGCGATCTCCGGGCCCCCAGTTTTCTTGTTCCACAGCGAGGTCGTCATTTTCATTTAGTGGACGAGAGGCGAAACTGGGCCCTGTGTCTGTTGTTTCGTCTTTGGCAGCTGTGCTAACAGACACGGCGGCCGCCATCACTCAGTTTGGTGCAAGTTTTGTCGGTCTGGAAACTCTGTCCGATTTGAGCAGTTTAAACAATACACACATGGCCTCAGCGCCGCTTCTGATTGGACGAGAGGGGGACGCAATCTCCATGACTACGACGTAACGGAGTGGGGGGGCGGGGCCACCGGTGTCTGTTCTACTCAAAACTAAATGAAATTAACGGATAATAATCATCTTTAATTTTGTTTTTCTTCTTTAAAAGAGCATACAAACACAAGTGACATTTCTTTATTCAATTCGTATTTTATTTTTGCATTTGATACAGTCGTCCTCAAATGTATTGATACCCTTCCATTAAAGAAAAGGCAAAATAGTCACTTAAATAACGAGAAACTGAAAAACGTAATAATAGATAACAATTTGCTAAATTCTAATTTAGTGAAATAAGAAATTTCTTTGGAATCGTGGTTGAAAAGAATCATTAAAAAAAAAAATACAAAAATCTGTCCCGGACAAATTAGAGCACCTCGCTGATGAGCAGTGGGCCAAAGTTTAGTTTATGGGTCCCATCATGCTTGTTTTCTTGTTTGTTTATTTGTTTGTTTGTTTTAAATATTTCTGTTGAACCACGATTCAAAACCAATGTCATGATTTTCATTCAATTTTTATTACTTCTGTCTATTTTAATTCATGTCAGTGACAGCTGTTTTTTTCCTTCTTTAATGGGAAGGTATGAATACATTTGAGGACAACTGTACATATATATTTCTACTCTGAATTAAACTGATGAATCACTAATTACCGATTGTTTCTGTTATACGTCTTGGGTTGTATAATAAGCAGCAAGGATGTTTTTATTGTATTGTATTGTATTGCATTGTATTGTATTGTATTGTATTGTTTTTGTGCTTCAATAGTCTTCTCCAATACGCAAGCGAACACACTGGACAGCAAGTCAGATGGACATGACTTCAAAATGTGAAACTACATAAGTTCTACACTGGACTGTTGTAGGTTGTGTCAGCTGATAGGTATAAACAGTACTGTGCCCAAAAGTCAGTCTTTAGAAAAGTTTAACTTGCACTGCAAGATTACGAGTCAGAATAATATACCCGAGAAGGCCTATTGTCTTTTCAGTTTTATGTTTTCACTCTGCACAACAGTATCATAATATGCATTCAGTAACTTAAGCCTAGACTTTTGCTTAGGAGTGTACATGTCCACTGGTACATTCCTGATACTGTATTCACATGTGGTCCTTACTGTGCTTTCCATAAAACATATGGTGAAAGCTTGCAGCAGTTCTTTTATGTTGACAGTGTGGTTGGAAGCCCCCCATCTAAACAGATACACTTCTGTGGCTGTTCATTTGCATCATACATGGCTGTGAAAGTAAACACAGGATCCATGTCTCAAGTTCTTCCTGTATGTGATGGAGTCCTTCTCAAAGTGTATGCAGGACACTGACACAAAAACCTGTTGAATATACATAAGTCCTGGACTCGGCTGCTGTCAGATGGGTTTTTACTGGTCTGATACACATGCGTCTAATTGGGCCCACGTTAGACTGTCAGTTCTTTGTGGTTAATTAGCATATTAGAATATAATCAGTCCAATGTCAAAGCAGCAGCACTTATTTTTTTGTTGCTTTGCAGATAGGTGCAATATTGTCAGTAGATGGACTGCTATGTTGTCCTCAGTGGTACGGCATGTTTTAATTTTCACAAGCTTGACACACTTGCTTTCCCACCTACAGCAGTAGTGTGTGAACAGGCTCCTTCTGGCCTAGAACAAAGACTATTAGGAAAGCCCATTCCCTGTTTCAGTAACCTGTTTTCATAGATATAAAATAGGCAAACTGGTGACATATAGATCTGGTTATCATAAAGAAAATTGTTTATTTGATTTAACTTGTTTGTGTTACAAAATTAAGTGCTAAGTTAACATACACTCAAAAATATACAAAAATAGACAGAAAATGAAATGCAGTAATCTCCCAACCATATAGACATTCTTAATACTTAATGTGATATATGCAAAGCCATAACTTTTAAAAGACAAAACGTTACACTGACTGTCCATGCCCTTACATTCCTTATGAAGTTCAACCCATCAATAATTAAAAATAACAAAAAAACATACCAGTTGGGTTTTTTACTGGTCATATCACATATGAGAGGATAGCAGTGTGCTTTAATCATTAAAAAAAAAAAAACCCTATAAAAGACATATCTGCAAATCGAGCCATCAGGACTTGCACACTATAAAACACATGATTGCAATATATGGTTGGCATAGTGACATGTGGTCATGTGGATCTTCACTGACTCCTGATCAGCAAATCTGAGCCAATGAAAAATTTATGTTGGACTGCCAGTCGTACGTTCGCCGTACAGCTTCAAACTTTTCGATGAGGGATCCGAATGTTGGCCGCTTTTCAGGATCTTCATCCCAGCACTGCTCCATCAACGTCTTCACCTGTTGAGGAAATAGTTATGAATCAAGCCACTCTCAATGCAAGCAAAATGTCAATGTTGTTTAATGGGCATCTGATGTTACCTCATGTGGGCAGTCTTTGGGACAAGGTAAACGCAGCCGTTTCTCCAGCAGTTTTATGAGTGTCAACACAGTCATCTGCCCCTGGGCTGTCTCCATCATCTCAGAGAACTTCTACAAAAACACACAAGAGTACATCGTGCATTCAGCGCAGGGGCTGCAAATGTATTTGACTGGTCTTACTTATAAATATGCACACAGGTTTCAGCTTGTGATCAGAGGCCAGTGATGACATACTACTGGAGGGCTTTGGCGATGGTCACAGCGGGTGAGGATCTCATACAGAGTAACTCCAAATGACCAAATGTCAGTGGAAAAGGAAAATTTATTCTCCTTCAAGCACTCAATGGCATACCTGCAAAGGGCAAAAAAAATACAATTTAGCGTCCAAAATCATTCAGGAAAGTACTGACTAACTTGAGTAGGTGCTGCATGAACTTACCAGAACACTGGGCTGTCGCCATCCTCACGGACACGGTAGTAGATCTCTCCTTCAGGGATGTATTTTGTCAGGCCAAAGTCTCCAATCTTCACCAAACCCTCATTTTCCACTAAGACATTGCGGGCTGCCAGATCTCGATGGACGTACCGCCTGGAATGCAAGTACTCCATCCCCTTTAAAAGAGAAAAACAGAAATAAAAGAAGGACAAGACATGTATTTTAAAATGAGCATGATGCCATGAAAACGCAAAATAGCTTTCTTTTGAAATGTTATTATAAAACTTCACAAGCACATCTCTCTACAGATGTCTAGACTGAAACAAGTCAAAAAAATGCTACTACATAGATTGGCAAGGAATTTGCCAAATTTTTCCTAGAGGACATTTTTCAGGGGGCTGAGAAAAAAACATATTGCTAATGCCAGTGAACTACTCAACTTAAACAGAATGAATTACTGACAAAACTCAAAAACTATGGCTGTGGTCAAGATCGCCTAGGTTAAGTGTGAGTCAAGACCAGGCTCAAGCAACTCAGAATCAAGACCATGTCCAAAAGGCATAAAATCATAAATAATTACATAAAAAAGTGGCAACTGACTTTGAGAAAAGAGGAAATCACATTAAAAATAAAACATACATAATGAAAAACCCATGTTGGCTTACCTGACAGATCTGCTGAGCAAACATGAGGCACTGTGGCACACAGAGTTTACGTTTGTGAAGGTACTCTCGCAGACTCCCCAAAGGAAGGTACTCCATTATTAGCTGCACCACTTGTCCTCCTGTCAATGGACAACAGCGCTTTTATGTTTATATTTCCATTATTTTCAAAAAGCAAGATTGACCTGTTGCCTATGCTGGTACTGTGGTGCTCAGCATGCTGAGTGTTGAAAGCTCAAAATATTGACACACAGTAGAGACAGTGGTGCACTTCGAATGGATTTTCAATATTTACAGAGGAACAGCAGGGACCAAAAATCAATTCCCTGAATAATCCACTGAGCACTGCAAGTTAAATGAAAGGTTCTGGGCAACCACTCCTTTGCACAGACTGTAAGTTAAGACATGTTGAAACAAACATATTTACTGCAGACAGATGACAGTTAGGGACTAACCCAGTTCAGTACAACAGCCTTTGTACTTGACAATGTTGCTGTGATAGAGGGACTTCAAGATCTCAATCTCTTTCATCCAGCCTTCAGGCACATGACCGTTCTCTTGCTTCAAAGCTTTCACTGCCACGCGTTCCCCTGTTCCATCGTTGGCCGGATCGTACAAGTACAGCGTCACCTTTCCAAAGTGACCCTGTATGTGAACAATGAACAGTTGATTTGCCTCTAATACACAGGAAAAGAAAACTAGTGATGGATGATGTGGTACTGGAGCTCACCTCTCCTAAGACCCGTATCATTTTCAGGTAGCGTTTATGGAACACGCTGGGGTCTGAGCCCGGGAAAGTTTCACTTGGTGACATAGCAAGATCTGTGTGCAGAAAAAAAAGGAAGCTTGTTATTGAGAGCACTGAAACAGGTTGAAAGGAAAACAGAAAGTAAGGCGAACAATTAAAGACTGACTATCTATATAGATATTCGGGAGTTCTCTGAGCACGGTGCGGAACGAAGGCCTCTCCTCAGGCTGATAGGTCAAACACATGCTGATGAATCTGGCCAGTTCCTGGGAGGATGGTTCAGCTAAGCGCCCTTTTTGCTGATAAAAGTGCTCTTTCTGTTGGGAGGGAAAAGGTTACAGTTACCATGAGAGGTCAACAGGATAATATGGGCAGACGAAGCTTTTAGCTGTTGGAAGAGAAATAAAGGTCAAAGTTGTAGCATGGGCCTACCTCAGACAATGTGCTGCCACTCATGGGAAGGTCGCCGTTGTTGCAGATTTCTAGCAGTGTGACGCCAAAGCTCCATTGGTCAGCAGCATTGCCAATGGGTGCACCACTGTCAACACACTCAGGGGCAATCCACGGGATACGCTCCAGACGCTCTGTGGTGTAGAATAGCAACATAAAATATGAGAAAAGTTCCATGGTTAAGGTGACCTCAAACTCTGGGTGCTCTAGTTAAGTATTTCTGAATAAAAACCTCTCAGAATTCAGTTTAACGTGGTACAATATTTGAGGAGACTCAACAAACAGCTCCAACAGCTATCTTTTTTCTATTTTGAGTTAGTTTGAGACGTTTACATATAAAAGAATGTCAGTTATGTTCAAGTCCTTGCCAAATAAGTTCACACAATACCGACTGAGCCTATCAGTAAAAGGTGTAGCTTTCTCGACATTCTCACGCTGGCGCCCAGACAGCAGTGATTGGTTTGCCAGAGTGGAAGAGGAAAGCAACAGCTGAGGTTGAAAAGGCTACGGCAAAAGAAGGAGAGCTAGCAGAGCCTACAGTAGAAACACTTAGGTCACATCCAGGGGGAAAAAAACATATAAGGATTGAAAAGAAAAAAAATGTGACTGATAAAAAGAACCATAAAGTATGCATACACACTTGAAAAAATCTAGTCTTTTTGGTAACAGGTTCATTCCGTGTCAACTCAGAGATTAGAGTTAGAGTTGCTTGGCCACCTCAGAATCTCTTGAAACTTTGTAGGAATGATCTTTGGCATCTGAAAGTGACATCTGCAATTTTTTTTTTAGCTGAAATTCCAACATTTTTACAATTTTTCACCCAATTAAAATTTTTTATGAATATTTGTCAAGTTGGAAATTGATCGAGACATATACATCAAGACATATGGACATCTGAAAGTGGCATCTTGCCTAATTTCCAACTCGCGAGAGGTTTATGAAAATGTCTTTATGAAAATGTTGGAATTTATAAAAAGAGTTTAACAATGAGCAGATGTCAGTTTCAGATGACAACGTTCATTCCTAAAAGTTTCAAGAGATTCTCAGGTGGTCAAGCAACCACCTTCACTGAGGTGACATGGCATGACACAACAAATTCCTGTTATTTTAAATATTCTTCATGTCTCGTTAAATAACAGATAATAACTAGTAAAATCATTAAAGTGTTCATTTACATCAGGCCAAAACTCTTGATAATATCCACATTTTAAAAAATCTGTTTTTTTAAAATAGTCAATTGTGTTTGTGTAATTACTCTCATTGCCAGAAGGAGGAGGCAAAAGCTTCACAATGTAGGTTTAGTTCAATAAAATACTAGAAGTATCTAAACTATCTACAAAGTTGGTTTCCCATGTGTACTCAATGCCAGCAGCTGGGGAAAAAAAAAATCAATAAAAACTGATGTCTGTTTTATTTTTCTTAGGGGATTTCTTTTTTTGGATTTGTATACGCATACATGACCAGGATGGTTAAAACTACGGCTCTTAACTTCATTCTTTTATTTCAGAGAGCCTTAAACAGCACATTGTGAAGAAAAACTGCAAGGCAACAGGAAAGAGATCACCAGAAGTGGTGTGGTTGAATTTTGTGTTTCCTAAATCTGATTGAAATAAGGCTGAACAGCACACATGAAGCTGACTGAGTTGAGAGGCTTTCTTGTTAAGTAAAGCTAATTAAAAGTTAATGTAAAGCAAGAGCTGGCACTGACCCGCCCGTGAAAGGACACTCAGGGCAATTCCTCGATCACTCAACTTGACGAAAGGGGAAATGCCAGGCTCCAGACCCCGCCTTGCTACCAGAATGTTCTTTGCACAGACGTTTCCATGAACTAGCCGATTTGTCTCCTAGAAAAAGGAAAATGGGACTTGGGTTGCAGAGTGTAATAAATAAGTTTAACACAGTTTATAAATGCTATTAAGTTGATGGACAAAAAGCAACTTGCAGCACTTATCTTAAAGCTTGGTCTGATAATCAGATTACATAATTTCCTGTCTTGGTGTCTAGTTAGAAAGTTGCACTAACTTGCTCTGTCTTCAGACATAAATTGCACTTGCATTATTTCATTATACTTAAGTAATTCACCTCAATGACCATGTAGTTTTGTGGTCATTAAAGTGAATTGTATTGAATTATGATCTGTGGCACACAAAAAAACAAGTAGCGTGTTTGAACTTACAAGATAATTGAGGGCACTGGCAAGTTGTCTTGCAACGATGAACTTCCACTGAGGAGTCACAGATGCCTTTTCTTTGCGAAGGAAAACATCCAAAGGCCCAAACTCCACATATTCTTCAACCATGATGTCTGTGAATATAGAAACAAGTCTGAGACATTTAACTACGATGACTCAAAAGCAAAATGTAAACAAGTCGCATCATCTTTAAAACACAAGTTAAAGTCTGGTTTTGCATTTGCGTCACTGTTCACTTGACACTAGAACGATACATTTGACTATTAACATCGGTGCATGACAAGGAAGTAGCAAATAAGGAAGTCACTAAAAGTAGAGTGAGTTGGTCATAGTGAACAGTGTTATTGCTCTTACTTTCAGATCCCTTGACAGACACACCATGTACAAACACCAGGTGTCTGTAGGATACCTGGCTCATGAGACTTGCAGTTTCAAAAAATGCCTAAGAAAGACAAAGACAGGAATCATTAAGGACTAAGTATCGACTACACGAAATGGTAGTGCATGTTTAGGTTCAGCGTACCACCACAGTCATTTCTTTGAGTAAGTTTGATACAATTCATGAAAAATCACATTGCTTACTAGAGCAATATCTTTATGGGTTTGTTCCAGAATCTTGAGAACCACTCGGATGCCTTTCCGGTCAGAAGAGTTGTTGTTGAACTCATCATCATCATCATCCTCTTCTCCACCCCGCACTAGCAGACGACCTGCGTAGATGTTAGTTCTGGTGCCGCGGCCCAAATGCTGTTCCTACACATAAACACAGCACAGATCCAGTCAGTTACAGAGCAGAGAGCACAAAACCTGTCTGTATGCAAAGTTGGTGAGTGGATATCATCACCTGTATGATCTCTTTATCCTTGATCTGGTGAAAGCGTAGCTGGGTCATGTTCAGAGCCAAGGAGTCATTGCAATGGCGGCGGTTGACACCTTGCCTCCTCACCAGAAGGTTGGAAAGCTCTGCATCACACAGAGTGTCATACAAACATACATGAACCTGTGTAAACTCATACATCCCACAGTACAGTTTCTTCAAAATACACAAGAAGATTGTAGCGTAAAGCAACAAAACATTTGCAGTGACCTCTAAACACAAACCTGCTTGTTTTGGAGGATAGCATTTTTTTACAGTGAAGCTGTCCGAACCAGATTTGAGTACAAAGGTCTTGAGGTTATCTGTCAGCTCCTTCACACTGGAAAACTCTCGGTCCCAGCCCTCCAGACAGAACATCGAGCCCTTGAGCTGAATACGAAACTGCTTGTGGCTTGATGCAGCACCATTCTGAATGTATAAACACAGGTATACAGACAGTGTCTCACATTTTTCACCATCGCTGAACTCTAACAATTTCCAGAGAATAGTGTGGGTGTTGACTTACCTCATTTTTGTTTAGCACAGCTAAGATGATGCGGCGATAGTCGAGAGCACTCCAACGAACGAGGAAAGCTCCCTCTTCTGCTGCCTCCTTTTTCAACTTCAGTAGCACAAAATCATCCCTGGAAGTACACCAGAGGTATAACATACTGTGTTTCTTTACAGCCTGTTTGTGTCTAAATGCGCACGTATAAGGGTAGAAAACTCACTGCATAGGTCCATGCAGTAGATTTGCTTCACTCAGCACTACCCTTGGGGGAGCCACTTCACGACAAAGATAGTGGTGGGCGTCTGCAGTCAGTCGGTAGTATCCATCTAGGAGGGAGATGAAGGAACGGGCCTCCTGGCTGGAGTTCATCTGAACCTCCTACATTCATGTACAGAAACACCACTAGCTTACAATCACATCTCCCACCTACAGACACATGCAAATTCAAAACATAATAAAAAGCCCAAAGCAAAACCAAACCTAAAGCTCTCATCATCACACGTATAGAATATCAAAAACTAAGCATACATGCATACCGTACAGTATATTCAGACAATTCAAAGACGGAAAATCTGATCAGTAGAACCACTAATATACACTATATCAATTGGACTAATGCATCACAAGCACATTTACCAATAAAATTAATGTATTGCAGCTTTCACATAATAGAATAAACAAGTACTCTCACCATGCATTGATTGTCTTGAGTGCTAATGCACACATTAGCCTCAGTAATGGCTATGTGAGTTATTTCAGGGAAATCACAGAAGAAGGTCCAGTCATCGTCTGCTTTTGGTTGACTGGACTGCTGTTTTGCTCTCTTACTGTAGTTCAAGTAGTCGTTCCTCATGTAAGTGTTTGCCTGTGCCTAAATAGAGAGACTGAGTGAACTAAAAGTTTACATTGATAGTATACAGAATGGCAAAGAATTAGCCCATTAGTCGCAGCAAACCTTCTGAATGGACACTTTCCTCCACAGAATCCCCTGGGTGCCAGACACCATTATTTCATGTGTGGCAGGAGCCTGGAAGTTGTCCTTCGAGACACCCTGGGCATGTGTGGTGTTAGAGTAAGAGCTGCTTCCATCTGCATCCTCCCTCAGATCCAGGTGGGTTACAGTGAAAGTCTCTGTGCCAAAACGTGGTGCTAAGTGTTCGAGGGTAGATATGTACTTATACATAATCTCCTGGGCACCCAGTCGCCCCTTATCCACCGTGTGCTGCTGGAAGGTCCGCACAAAGTCCGCAAACACTCGCCGGATCCTGATTTTAGTCAGGAAGTTGTCTCGAGAAATGTGTTTGGCAAAAGTCCTTGGAATGCAGCCTATGAAGCTGAAAAACAAGATATGTTATTATTATTTGGATTCAATGGTTGAATTGGTTGTCACAAAAAGAGAAAATATCAATCATAGTACAAAAAAAAACAGCCACCATAAGACAAATATATACCTGTCATCACAACATATTCAACATAATATAGACAATTTAATATCTTTGATGACAAATCTACAGGTTTAGGTGTCATTATTTGACCATTTTCGCTGTAAAAAGGGTAAAAAAAAATAAAAGTTTATACATCATTTGCCACAACAACACCATATTCACTTGTTCCACAGTAATTACCTGACTTTTGAAGCTACGTCTTGTAAGGTAGAGCCTGTCTGCACTGCCTGATGTGAAAGGTGAAGCACAGCCATTCCCAAGCTCTCATTTTTGAAGCGATTTAGTTCTTCTTCTGACTTGACATCTTCCATTTCCACCACTTCATTCACAAATTCAAATTTAGCCTGGTTCGAGGACATGGGAGGCACTGTTATTGTCAACACAACATAAATGCGCATTTAATTAAAACACAGTAATACTACAATGATGTTAAACACAAACCTGGGAAAATAGATACTCCAAGGATGTGATTTCAAGCAGAGGGGAACCCCCCTGATTACTCCCAGATCGGTGAGCATAGCGGGACACAATGGGCTCTTTTTCACTCAGTCCGTGCCAGTTTCGAAAATAAAACCTTGATGCAGGGAAAGCAGACAGCCTGCGTGAATCTTCTCACTGTGTTTCATGTGTCTTTCAAATACAATGTTACTCAAACACAGACTAACCTCAAACAGTAGAGAAGTACAAGGTTGGAGTTCTCCTCTGGACTGAAGATGTGGTTCGGACTGTACCAGCAACGCGTTATGGGATTGTACAGCGCAAACAACACATGGCACAGAGGACTTATCCCTAAGGAAAACACACTGACGTTAGGCACACCCACCCCAAGCAGGGTCAAACGCCACATGACAACCCTTTCATTTTGCTCTGCACATGTGCAATATGTGGTCACTCTCACCTACAGCCTCTGCAGCTGAGATGCACAGCTCCTCTGCTGTCACCTTCCCAGTTGTGTGAGACAAATATCTCTCTCCTTCTTTGGTCCAGAAGAGATAAACATGGATACCCTGACCCTGAGGGGGGTCGCCCTGACCTGGAAAGATTCCTGGCTTGGAAGGCTTGGCCCGCCCTCTTCTGGACATGTTGTGGGTCAGACAAATCACTGACGGACAAACGGACACACAAGTTCAACCACAAGTCAGTTGTATTGGTCACGTAGGCATTACAGCTCACAAGTCGTTTTGAAGCGACACCTTGCGCTTTTCTGAAATATCGTTTATTTATAATTTAATACATTGGTTTGTTTTTGAAAACCAGCTCGGTAGCTTGGCAAACCACAAAAATGTACTAACTTTATTACAAATGACGATGAATTTGCCCACAGGCCTTCCGGGGATTCCACCCGGTCTAACTTACTGTTTACATCCAGCTACACAAAGCCTGTATACAACACAAACAGTACTACTAATCTACATCTGTTCGTACATAAACGTATTTAACACACTTGTAGCGGCCTGTGTGAGTCCGACAACACTTGACAGTGTGTTGCTGCCATAACAAGGAAACATGAAACATTAGCAATCATATCCGTGAACTTGGCAACGGCAGTCCCACCAGTATCTTACCGTTTTACGGCGAGCTTTCAAGGCGTTACATAAAAACCTAGCAGGGTAAAACGAGCTGACGGTGAAGCTTCATTTGTTTTTTTGTTTTTTTGTTCGGTGTAGTTCCCCTGCTGTCTTCTCTTACGGATTCTCGTGAACTGCGTGAGTCGACGAGAGAGACGCTGCTTCCCGAAACCAACATGGCCACTCCCTCCCTGCGCAGCCCCGGCTCTGCCTCCAGCGACATGAATGGCGAGCCCCTTCAACATTTAACTGCATTTGACTCTCCGGAATTAACATTATAGATACCAACAACATAACTGTGACTGTAGAGAAGAGGCCTGTTGAATATGTTGAAAACGACGGCGGAATAGTTGTCTTGTTGTAAACAGTAAACTCTTTCTTGGTGACATCTCGTGTCTTGCACGAGCCGCAGTGTCAAAAACCCTGTAGAAGAGTCCAGCTTGACATTCAGCAGGTTGATCCCACATGATGGCTGGTGTTTTGAATTGGGCACAGCGGCAGATCGCGTGCAGCAAGCCCCTCCTCCTACCTGTCATCACTTCTGCCATGATTACAGGTGTCTGCAACATCAGCATCAAGATATCTGTAGTTACATCTTGACTCATCATGGCAAAAGTTAGAGATATCTCGAATTTTAGATTAATTAATTTAAAGATATCTATAACTTGATTATAGATATCTGCAACTAAATTATGATTACCCATAAATCTAGTTTGAGATATCCATAGCAAGCCCTTTTAACATTTAATAGCTAATCTGGATATGTAATACAGATATCCACATTTCAATTCTTCCTGGTCAAAATGAACATTTCAGATATCCACATCTCACATAGCGGCTATCCAAAATCGAATCTATTGATCTATTGTGATTTGTTACAAAGAGGCATGGTCATGTGAACAATTTTAGATGTTGATCATAACAGAATACAAGTTTATAAAACTGAAATGACAATAAACTAAAACAATTAAATCTTGAAAAGGGACCTTTGCTTGGGTCTTGGGGGAAGATTATACTATTCAAGATTTACATATTTAATGGCTGACAAGAAGTCTTCCAGTCCTCAGAAGCTTAGTAGAAGAGACACGTAAGAGAGACAGCATGACAAGCCAAAGCACGCTGACAAAATCATACAAAAATCTAAGGAAAAGTAGAAAACCATGTCTTGGCCAAGTATGTTGAAAGATTTGACCTTTTTCAGTGTTTTAAAGAGAAAGATACAACAACACAATCCCTCCGGCAAAGAACAGCTAAAAAAACATTTCTGAAGAACTACTGACCATTTCCCCACGAAATTTGTGCAACATTGGTATCCTCCATGTTAAACAGGACCGAGTAAGTCATTATTATTGAAAAATACAAGATTTGAATCAAAAGGATTAAAGGTGTACTGACTTTTGTTGCATTAAATTCCAACTGTAGGCTCTGTGTTTTTAATGAAGTAAATCTAAGCTGTGAGTTACTAATTTTATCCAAGCACAAATACCCCACTTTTCAACTTAGAAGTGATTCAGCTACTTAAAGGTGACAGGGTGTTTGAGCCTTTGACTTTTAAGTAGCACTGTACAGGGGTCTACGTCTTTCTGTTGTATTCTATATACTTACTGACCCATGACCATTACAAAATTACACGGCCACAAGACCAACATGAAATAGTTAACAGTGTATATTTCAACATATAAGGGCTGATGAGTCATGTGGAGATTTAAAACTACTGTTGCTGATGTTGTGTTGTTGTTTTTCTAGTACAACAATTTCCCTGAGGTTTGCACCAAAGGGATCAGTGAAGTTCTATTCTACTCTATAATATCACATATTACAATTTACATTACTGCCAAATTACAGTCGACCACATGAATTAATACCAACCTCAAAACTAAATTCAAACAAAATACCTTTCACACCTATGGTAAATGCTTTTATCCAAATTTCATGTTCTATGTTCATCAATAGATGTCACAATTTTATCAGTGTCATCCATTATCTGACAGTTCACTATGCACCTGACATTCAGAAGCCTAACCCCATTGAAATATTGTGGCATCCCTGTCAACATTTTGTCAAATTCTGATGCAATTCTGTTTTACCTTTGAGCAGGCTGAATGCAGATGCAGTTGACCTTTATCAGTAAGTTTTTTTTTTCCCATGAAAGGAAGTCACAATTTGGGAGTCAAATTCCCCCGGTCCTTTGTTACAAGCAATAATCTCACACAAAATCTTGGAGGAAATTCTCATTCTTTTCTTTTTTTGCAATAGCTTACCGGGCGGTTTCATCTTGTGGTTTCCAAGATGGTCAAATAATGCCTTTGTATAAGCCATTTCACTTCATCATTGTTTATTTTTTTCAGCTCTGCCATCATGCAAAAGCCAAGGTACTCCCACCTTTAACATAACAGCATAGAAAGTGAAAGTATAGATTTCTGCCATACCTAAATATCATTTTCAGGCACAGTGCCGCATCACCGAATGCAGACCCATGTGAGCATTTAGGACATACACAGCCCTTTTTCTCATTGAATTGGGACTTAATTGGGATTTTGACCAACGTGGAAATGAACAGGGGTAATGTAATCGGTCAATCATTCCAAGACCCCACAAGACTCAACCTTAGGAGTCTTTACTTTCATTCATATGGTAATAGTTCGGCCACATTAAGCTACAACGTAAATGGAATCAGTGTAATTATCAGGTCTGAAATTAACGTTTAGAAAAATAATAACAATGATAACTAGAAGGGGTTCGAGGACCCTAATAATAATACTACTGGTCTTTGTCTTGTAATGCAAACTGTAATAAACTGAATGTCATAGCATAGTCACCAAATTACCACAATCACTAAGTGGAGTAAATGCCACTTTTAACTACCAAAAAAGGCAGTTTACACCACCACAGAGCTCATCACCATGTTCTTGTACTTCTTATATGACTCACACCAAAAGCACATCACCCACACCTTGACACATAACCACAACAACTTGGTCTTAAGAAACTGAATATAATTCAACCTTTAGGTAAGCAAGTTTGTAGAAAATGTCACTTTGGGGAAATAACCATTTGAATACGTCAACTGATGAAGCCCGAAACAAAAGAAAAATCCTAAAACTAAAATGACAAAAAAAGCAACAAAAAAGCAAAAACAAACAAACTTATAGACTCAACCTGAAAACTATAGACCGCCACAAATTATGCAGGCAGGCATATGTATATATGTACACATACATACCCACACAAACTGACAGTTGTGTACAAATAAAACACAGCTTTCATTTTGTTCAAACAAACAAAAGACAATAAAAGACACAAACTGCAGTTTCTTTTCCAAGCAGGAGTTTCTGGTGCAACATTCTTGTGTAGTCAGGTGAATGCTAATCCCTTAAATCTCAGCTAAATATTTTAGAGAAGTTATTTCATTGATTGGCAACTAATCATACACATAATGGAGTTGCAATACAGTGGGTAAGTACATTTGCAAAAACGTCAAATCATGGGGTCAATTTTGGTCATTCCTTCTTAGTTTCTTCTTGCTCCTGTTTCACCTCTTCATAGGTAGCTTCTTCCTCTTTTTCGTCCCCTTCTGCCTTGGAGTTGGGGACCCAGAGCCCAGAGTCTATGCACCTCTTCATGTGAGCCTTTGCCTCCTAAATTGAATAAAACAATCACATTCAATAACTGACTTAAAGCAGGACTTCTCAAAAATACACAGCAATAAGATAACACTACATTTTAGTATTTATACCTGAGATGATACTGAAAGTATAGGAAATACTGTATGCTTTAATGAAATAACCTACCGTTGGGTCCATTTTGCTAATAACCTCTTGTAACATTTGGATGTCCTTCTCATCAAAGCATTTCTGCATCTCCTGTAATGGGGAACACACTCTATCAGGCACTTTAAACTAACAAGAGAAGACAAAAGCAGAATATTGAGGCTTCTTTAGAACAAATTAACTTACGACTGGCAGGGACTCATACACATCAACAGGATCTAGACCTCCAGGTCCCAGGCGCTTTTGTCGCTCCTCTTCCTCAAATTCCTTCATGGCCTTTTCTATGCGGATCTTCGCCCTGCCCCGAACCCGCTCCTTGAATGACTCCAGCTCATCATTGAAAGCTTCTTGGTATTGCTGATCTGCCGTCTGTAAGGGAACACATGCACACAATCAGTATTACGGTGTTTTCCCAGTGGACTAAGAACCTTTGCAGAGACTCAGGACCACTTTGATTGCAGGAGCTATAGGCTAAATTTAGTTCCACGTGGAAAAAGACAGACCCTATTGCAGAGGTGGTATTTTCTGATGATTCAGAAACTACTGGTTACAAAACAAAGATCACTGTTCTGACTTGCCTAATATTCACAGTTCTACATATGGAAGGAAACAGACAGGAATGTGAAAAAAACAACTTCATGCCCTGATTGAGGAGTATTTTGATTAAAATTTGAAATTATTTATTTTATTTGATTAGATTTACATTTGGGCTGCACGGTGACCCGGGAGTTAGCACCACTGCCTCACAGCTAGAAGATCCCTGGGATCTTTCTGCGTGGAGTTTGCATGTTCTCCCTGTGTAGCATGGGTTCTCTCCAGGTTCTTCCTCCCACAGTCCAAAAACATGCTGAGGTTAATCGGTGATTCTAAATTGTCTGTAGGTGTGAATGTGAATGTTCTTGTTTGTCTCTCTGTGTAGCCCTGTAATAAACTGGCGACCTGTCCAGGGTGTACCCTGTCTTCACCCTAAATCAGCTAGGATAGGCTCCAGCAACCCTAGTGAGGATTAAGTGGTGCATAGATAATGGATGGATGGATGGATGGATGGACGGACAGATTTATAGTTTGTAGCATCTAAACAGGTACCTTAATCTTGGCAAAAAACTGACGGAAGCAGCCGCGAGGGTCTACTTTGAGGCTTTTGGCCAGCTCTAGAATGAACTGCATGACGATGGTCTGATGAGCCACTTGCTCCATTAATGCATGTTTCTGCAAAAGAAGGAAACATTTTTAGAATAATGTGCAAATTTTACAGTAGACAGTAGCTGTATAGAGAAACCTTGTTGTGGCAAAAGGAGAGGATCATTAAGTCACAGTCAAATTAACCAACTTCAGAATATTAGAATACTATAATACATGCAACCTATGGAATATGAGCGTAGTAAAATAAATGCAAAAGGAAACAGGGACAAACAAACTCAGTTTTTCAGTGTTTACCTCCTCAACTTCAAGGTCAATGCACATGATGACCAAGTAGTTAGCAGTCTCTTCACATACTAGATGAGGATTGTCAGAGAGGTACTTCTGGCTGTCATCCCAACGTCGCAACATGCCTGTAGTAAAGACATTAATGAGGGAGTATCTCTGCTTTCAAATACCAGTACCCTGTGACAGGAAAGAAATAACGATGGTTCATGTAAGTCAATAATTCTTACCGAAATGTTTGATCTGCTTCTCATACTTATCCACGAATGTTTTATGCTTTTTCTCCTTCTCCTCTTCAGTCTCCTCTGCAGATTCAGGTTTGACATTAACAATACTCTACAAATGACAGAGACAAAAACTAATCAGTAATAATAATAGTATGCCTTGGTTTCTTTAGGACAAATGTCATGCATGCAAATTGTGTGCAAAATTTGACAAAAATCAACAAAGCTGTCAGAAACAGATTTTGAATCCTTAATAAATTCCACATACAAGCCAAAACATGCAGCGAGTCCGTCAAACACACCAGTGGTATCACCAGCCTCACTACTAATTCTGTGCCCATGATAGCAGCTAATGCCACCTCCAAATCACATGGTCCTCTAACATCCTCAGGCTCACACAGGTAACAGACTCTAAACTTTGCTTTGATTTGTAGTATTATAACATGGTATCATCAGACTGCTACAATTTGCTGTAAAATGGAAAGTCTGTAGTGGCCAACTACATCTGGCTAACCTTGCTAAAGCCATCCTTGCTGAGTGTGTCCACGTTCCATGGCATCTTCTTCTCTTCTCGGTTGTGGTCATCCACCTTCTTCTCCCACTCCCGTTCCTCTTTTTTTAGTTTCTTTTCCTCAGCCTGGACTTTACCCAGTTCTGCTTTGGCATCATCCGATGCTGTAATGGTCAGGTCTTGTATTTTCTTCTGTGCTTCTGCCAGTTTACGCCGGCATTCACAGAGCGACTTGTTCATGTCTTCACCTTTTTTCTGAAAGTCTTCCATTCGCTCCACACGTGCCTGAAGTACAAATATTACATCAGTCACAAATGTGTAACAGTTCAATGGTCTAAAGCTATGCTGAACCTTCATCCCCCTTTACCACTTGCTTCCTCAGTGATTTTCATGTTGAAGAGCACAGGAAGCCTGCTAACGGTTCAAGGATAAAGTGCACCAGTTTGACGAACTTGGAACATCTTAAGTTCAACTATATGTGTCTCAAAAATGTACCTGGTGTCTCCATCTGAAGAGGCTGGGTGTGTCGATGTTTGGGTGGGTGTCATCTTCATCGTCTGACACCTCAATGTGGTCCCACACGCTGTAGTCTATCCCGGACATTCTCCCAACAAGAACCTAACGCTAACAGCGTTAGCTTAGAATATGACTCGGCTAAGTTAGTGGCTAAAAGACGCTAACTAGAAGTTTGAATCAAAGGAGCCAATACACCCAAGTACTACACTTCTCAGATATATGTATTTGTGTTCAGTGCAGCGGCTTGCTGTATCTGACCAAGACAAATTCAGATAAAGCTCCCTGGCTAGCCCCGAGCTAGCAAGACACTGGTACAAAATTCTAGAAAGAATTGCTGCAGCACATTTCCGTTTGACGTCATCACGTCATCCGCTACAAGGACGTACGGCATCACCACTCTGGTAGTTGTAGTTTTTGTCTTAAAGAATTTGAAATTGCTCTGTTCAATCAGTTTTAGTGGAATCTACATACTTTCTTGTATTAAGTTTTAAGATGAAGACTATTTTAATGAATAGTATATATATAAATAAAAATAATCTCTCCCAAAAATGTTTATTATGGTTAATGTGTACATATGACTTTCTTTGATTAAGATAGGATCAAACCTTAATTTATGAGTAAATCTATTATTTTATGTTATTGTATTTTCTTTGCAGATAGGCAATGGTAGCTAATACACACCAGCCAATACAAAATGTATGCCAAGATATGCCTCCAGTGCCTATATCTTGCCAAGCAGAGAATTTGTATATAATTATTAGTATTTTTTTTTTTTTGCCCCACTTTTTGTGTGTTGATTGATTGGACCTCAGTATGTTGTTTGAGGATAAATGTGGTTGTTGAATTAGCTTCTTTTTATTAGAATTCCCATGCATTTCCAGTTCCTACTGTGATCAAAACTATATGGTCAAATGAATTTGTTCAAACAATATCTATCACTGCTGTTGTTTTTTTTCATATTCATGATTTTTTAGTTGTAAACCTATATTTTCTACCTTTGTAAATGATGCCAAATGTATACAGATCTTGCATATTATTTTCTCAATATTCATTATTTGCAATTGTACATGTTTTTTCTTGTCCTGTTTTTTGTTGTTGTTTATTTTCCCCTAAAAACCATGCAACCCCTTTCTTAGAGAAACTTTACCATTTTAGGACTACACATTGATAAATCAAACAATCAAGTCAAGTTCTGCATTACCCTACAATGATGTGACCTTTTGCCTAAATAAAACATGTTCTATTAGGAATACCCTGCGATACAAGCCTATTGAAATTGATTTGGGAAAGACAGACAGCTATGATAACAAACAGATCTGCTGGAATATGACAAAACAACATGTTTATGTAGACAAACATTTGCATTAACATTTTATATTTTAGGCGTACCTGTGTTTTCAGTTGTCCTAGATGACAATTCTGCTCAGGTTTAAAAGATGTGCAGCTTTAGTGCCAGTAATAACATCTTCTTAGTCACTGTGTACTAATAAGAATGATGGCAACATATTTTGTCATGCGTTAACAGGTACAACCAGAAGAGTCAGCGAGTCACACATGTGTAATCTCTTTGTCTAATACTGTGAGTTTACAGAAACAAGACTCTCTTGGTAACGCAGTGCTGACATGCACAAACACGTATCTCAAGCCTGACAACAGACGGCGGGAATGTGAACATAAAGACATAACAGTTCAACTGAACTTCAATTAAACGGATAAATATATCGCATGGCTTGCATTGTAATGTTCAACTTAGCGGTGACATTTAGCCCCAGGGCTCATGGCTTTGTACAATGGTGTGTAAAATGTCTGCTATGAGGAAGAGCTATTTAAATTTAATATCTTTATTTTTCATTCCACTTTCTTCTGCTTATAAAGGGTCAGGTTGCGGTGGCAGCAGGCTAAGCAGGGCATTTTAGATGTCTGTCTCCTAAGTACCGTTTCTAAGCTCCTCCTGTGGTTCCTAAGGTGTTCCCTGGCCAGATGAGATATGTAATTCCTTCAGCAAGTTCTGGGTCTGCCCTGGGGTCTCCTCACCAGCTGGATGGGCCAAGAAAACCTCCAAAGAAAAGCATCCAGGAGGCATCCTAATCAAATGCTCAAACCACCTTAGCTGCCTCTTTTCTCCATGAAATAGGCAGTGACTGTCCTCAGAGTTCTCTCGAGATCTTTGAGATCCTCATCCTATCTCTGAGGCTGAACCCAGCGACACAACGTAAAAACCTAATCTCAGGTTCTTTTATCTGAGATTTCACTTTTTCAGTCCCTACCCAAAACTTATGATCACAGATGAGGGTAAAAACCTAAATGGACTGGTAAATCAAGAGCCGTTTCTGGCAGAGAACCATGGCCTGATACGCAGAGGTGCTGACTCTCATCCCTACCACTTCCTACACAGTTGCAAACCACCCCAGTGTACAGTGAAGGCCACGGCTTGATGGAGCTAAGAGAAGCGCATCATCTGCAAACCGAACACAATCCACACCTCTGCTGCCCATGAATGTCACAAAACAGGATCACAGACAAGGGACAACAATGTCGGAGAACCAACACCTCCCGGAAATGTGCCTGATATTGTGTCGACAATACGAACAGAGCTCTAACACGCACCGAATGGCTCGGATCAACGGCTTCAGTACCTCATACTCCCCCAGTTTACCCACAGGGATCCCTAGTGGATGTGGTTGTAGGTTTTCTCCAAAGCCCCAAAACACACGTGGTCTGGAGGGTCAAACTTCCACAACCCCTTCAGCAACTCTGCACGAGTAAAGAGCTGGTTCACTGTTCCAGCTCTTAAATTTCTGCTAAGTAACAAAGATAAATAAAAACTTTGTTTGTGGCGTGTGTATAGTTTTATGCTCTTTCAAATGATGTACAATTCAGTCCAGTTACATATACATAGTGTACAGTGCTATACACGTCATAAAACATTGATACAATGTTTGTTTTTTGTCATTACTTCCATCAAACACATCCTAAAGAGGAACTACGTGTTGCTTTTGTCCTCCGCAGGTTTTGAGTCTTTGAAACCGGAGCAGCAGATGGAGTTTCCAGTCTGCGCCTGACAGCAGCGCCGCATCTCCCTGATCACATCCTCGCACTTGCTCTCATTGTATTTGTTCGCTGCAGGAGGGAGATGGAGTCAGTCAAAGTTTCATGTGAAGTTTGCCTTGATAACATTTGAATGCATCTAAGTGACAACTTTAAATACCTTGTAGACAGTGCTGAATTGCACATGCTTGCTTTTGACATGGATCTTTCAGTGGCATGTCTGAAAAAGAACAACGACACAACATTTTGTCCACTTGTGGTAACAGAATACACATCAGGCACCACATCACAAAGGACCCAAGAACTGGCTCCCACCTTTGTCGGTAGAAAGTAGTTGACATAAACGTAGTACTTTGTCTGGTTCTGGATAGAAGGTCGTTAGCTTGTGTTAGCCGCTAGCTGGCTACTTCCTGCTGCGAGGTCGTGTTTTGATCATGTGACATGGCGTCGGCCAATCACATCTTAGGAAGTGGAACAGCGACACCCTCTGGTCCAATAGCAGAACAACAAATGGGAAAATGAAAAACTAAATTTAAAGCAGAAAAAACAAAATGGCACAACTGTATTAAAAGCTGCTTTGAAGCTAAGATAATCTCTGATTCAAAAGCCTTAATACATACATTGTATTATGAGATATTGCTCTGTTTTGTAGTTTTACCAGAATTTTAGAAGTGCAGGATTCATTGACATTTTAAGTGTAGCAGTCACTCCACATAGCTGGTACTGATGATGACGATTCATGCAGTTGTTGTTTTTTGTGATGGTTATTTGAATGTATGTGTGGCCCACCTGGAAGTTGTTTCCAAGTGCATGTTTAATGAAAAGGTGGTTTATAATCCAATGATGGAAGTTAGTCAAATCAGTGCAATACTAATATTAAATGTATTCTTATTTAATGGTTAGATGTAATATGAATAAGAGAAAAAACACTTTTTAAATTTAACTTTTATTGATAAAGATAAGATAATTAAGAAACAGTTCATATTTACAGTAATAGGCTGCTGCTAGTTATCATTGATGTATCAGGAGTAGCTACATTTTTGTAAAGTTACAAGATGATTTCATTAATAGGAAAATAAATCTAGCAAAAAATATAAATTAGATACACAATATCACATGGAAAGCATAAAAAGTGAACTAAATCCTAAACCAGCACTGACAAATTAAATGGCAGTTACCAAACACAGTATATTCAGGTCTGTTTTTCTATGAGATCTAATTCTGGATGATAACAAGATCCTCATAAACATCCATTCAGTCATGAATGTCATTGTCATTTCCATCTCCAAAGCAGCAACAGTAAAATCCTTAGTGGAATTTCCCTTGTGTGTCCGATGTGGTCATCTGATCCCGTTCCAACACTGCTTGTCTCAAACGCCTAAGTGAAAGCAAAAGGAGACGCAGATTAGGATGCAGTGAGTGGACACAACGTGTGCATGCAGAAATGTGCTTCACAGCTCATTTCTACCTTTGGTCTTTGCCTGGATAGTGAACTGCTTGCTCTTCTTTTCCAGCGTATTGGAGGCAGTGCAGGTGTAGGTTCCTGGGAGCAATGAGGATGAGGTAACAAATGCATCATCCTCCATGCCCTCTTGTACAGGATGGGAGGATTGCCAGCTGTATACAGGTGTGGGGTTTCCTGTGGCAGTGCAGTTTAAGGTGATTTCAGCACCCTCTACGTAGTCCAAAACCTCTGGTTCAGGACTGAGGAACGTGGGAGGAACTACAGGAAAGATCACAGACATCATTCTTCAATGTATTAAACATGTGAGAACTTGTTTTATGATTGTGAATAGTTTCATGACTCACAATACACAGATGCATTAAGAGGCTCCGAGGCCACAGTAGGAGGTGGCTGTGGTCCCTCTGGCCCAAGCTCCAGCTCTGCCACACACCTATACTGTGCTCCATTCTCTGCTTTGGTTGGTGTGACGACAAGGATAGAGGACACTTGGACGGGTGAGGAAGACGTGAGGTCAGAAAAGGAGTGGTTATAAACCTCCGCCTGCCCCCTGTACCACCTCAGGGTGAGATACTGAACAGGAGCGATATTCTGAACCTCACAGAGCAGCTGGTACTCTTTTCCTTCCACCATGGAGCCGGTGTGGTTCACCTGCCTGATGGAGACGCTGTCTGGAGTTTCTGAATGAATAACACACAGGGCTCGGGTCAATCACACAGGTCAAGCCATTCATTTCCAATAGCAGGTTTTAAAGGAAGAGCCGACTCACTGTAGAGGACAAGGTTGAGTTTCTCTTCACACTGTCTCGGAGCTGTGAAAAACACCCCGTAGCAGATGGGCTCCTCTATCCAATCAATGAGACTGTCCACCTTCCACTGGACCGACCGGTCCTCCTGCGTGTGTGTTGCACTGATGGCCGATTCCCAGCCCAGGACACGGACCGGGCGAGCGGCTTCACAGCTGACTGACACTGGCTCCCCGAAGCCCACCACAACCCTGGAGGGCTTGAGGATTAGGGAGCAACCTTCACCTGACACTAAGGCATAGAGTAGTAGTCCTCATCATCATGTTCATTACAGCCAGTGGCATCATCCTTCACCTTTCATATTCACTATAGAAGCAGTGTTATGTAACCCTATTACAACACACTCAAACCACAAGTCATACAGGAAGCACACACTAATATTTCCACATCATTATAATATAGTATTGCAAATTATGAATCCATGGCTATATTGTAGATGATTTTTTTTAATGCTATTGTAAATGTGCACTTTGTAGATCCGCTTGCATGATTTTAACTTCAGTTTATTTTAGCTAAATAAAAAAAATCCTACAAGCAAACGAGCATACTGAACAGTTTTGCTGTTACATCGGTCGCCAATTATAGCTTTACTTTCAGAAGTGTAGCCATGTAAACACAAAGGTCACAAATGAACGCAAATGATCCCAGACCAGCTCTGCGATGACCGCCTTCAGCTGGTTGCGCTCATCGTCGTTACATCTTATTCACACTATTACTAGGTGATAACTTTACAGCGTTTTCATTTATCACCACAAGACAATGACCTGACCAAACATCATCTGTAAGTCGCCTGCAACATCTTACCTGAACAAAACATGCAAACCATGAGAATCCATCTCAGAAAGTTGTCTCCCATGTTATTTTCTGCACGGAGCCGTCGGTTGTGGCCGAGAAAAGCGCGAGAAAATTCCAACTTGAACAACCTTGGCAACTCTGCAGGGAACTATGTTGGAACAAAACAAAGTTCCCTCCCAGCTGACTTTTTGGGGGTGGGGGGTAAAAGGGAAAGAGGGAAATTTAACAGGTGGCAGGCCTTTGAAAAAACACACAGCCCAGTGTTTTCGCACTGCACTGATCTTATTAGCTTTTGAGCAGTAAATTGTAAGCTTTGAAACACTAGAGCAAAATGTGCAAACAGGAATCATGCAGACACACAGTAAAACTTTATCAATATAAGGTCTGTTTTTCATTTTTATTCTCTAGTATGTTGTCTGTGCAAAAGGAATACTGTCATTTTTGATGTATAATTATTGATACACATAATTTATAGTTTCATCAAGTTCAAATCTGCAGCCAAAACTTTTGTCTTTTGTAACTTTGGGGCCAAAGCAGCAGTAAATTTACTGGAATATGAGATAAATCCAAACAGCATTTTATTGATTATTCACAGTCAACCTGGTTACTTCAGTGTGGCCATCATATGCTGTCAGATCATTAACTTTATCACTTGTTTTGGTGTCAAGTCATGACTGGCTGTGAAGGAACGCTTGTTTTTAGTTCTTTCTCGCCTGCTCGTCTCCTATTGCTTCTGAACTCCGTGCTTTGTGGAATCGCAGCGGGCAGGAGTATGGGTCTTGTGCAGCATGTAGCTTGTAAGACTCACACTGTGACCAGAATGCTGCACAGCATATCAGCTCAGGCCGCAACTGCAAGTCCAAGTGAGCGAGTAATCGGATGCTTTTTGGTGTATTTATGGAGAGCACAGCTGGGAATCTCTATGTACAGATTACAGAACACGCTCGCATCACTTGCAGTTTTGAATATGCTGCTCCTTCTGCAAGTTCTCTAGAGAAACATGTTAGGCTTGTGCGTTTATAATAAAACCTCTTTTTTTTTTTTTTTTAACTCCATGACTAATTGAGCAAGAGCCACTATGCCAGGTTGTCATGGCAACACAGTCAGGGCATACACAAACAGTACTTTCTGGTAAAAAATCTTTAGTGGGAATGACAGGAGCTAAACTTAAAGAACATGGCTAAAGAAGAAAAAAAGGTTTACATTGGCAACTGTGGGCAGGATAACAAATACTCTCCTTTACATTCACTTTGTTCAGAACTAATTAGTATGGCAGTCTCAGCACTGTATAATGTAAGCCAGACTGAAAGAGACAGAGAGAGGTCCAAGGGATTGACAAAAGGTGGCAGGGAAACATAGACACTGGTTTGACTTTGCCTCAATCAGTATTCTGCCTAAGGACATAACTGACAGAGAAGTTGGCACCATCTAACAACTCACACATGTGCACGAGCCACACGAGCACACAATACATTAGCATTTCTTGCACTACAAGTTTCCCTTTGTAAATTAATTCACATTTCATAGAGACAAATGTTTATTTATTTCAAGCAAATCTTTCACCAATACATTAGACAAACTGTGCATCTAATACAGAATGTGATGGGGTTTTTTTTGTTTCCAGGTAGGCTCAATAAAGCAACAAATTGTTGTACCATATTAAAATGTAGAATGACCATAATCAGTCTGTTCAGTGCAAAAATAATTCAACATTCAAGAGCCGTACCAGTGCATACAAAAATAAAATGACAAAAATAATTTAGTAATTAGTTTATGCATATACCAAAATGTGTAATTTAAAAAACTAATTATCAACATTATATGCCATGCATGCAAGTACCGTAGCCTGCTTAACTGTCTGGTTAGTGTTTAATAATAAAGACAAACAAGACGAATGGATAAAAACATGATAATGAGCAATTCCATTTCAGGTCCATTGTTCAATGTGGCTAAAGTTGCTGTTGTTTTTTGGTTTTTTTTGGTGAAATTAAAAAAATAAAAATACAACAAAGCCATTATACAAACGATAAGGCAACTATGGCTGTTGATTTTTATTGTTAAATACACTAGTTACTATTCAGTAATTTATCAAAAATAAAACTACTCTTTTCCCAGATGAGTGCGGGTATTGGCTGAACAAAATGTAAACTCAAAGTATTAATCATTTGATGACATGGCTGCTAAAGCTGATGAACCCTGATTGATTAAAGCCTTACTCATGTATTACCGCTAATGCATCCAAGATATATATATTCCACAGGTAGCACACAGTGGGTTTATCAGAGCTTTTTAGATGCAAACATGATGATAGCAGCTCAGATCAAACCATACAGTAAATGCGCAAACCACCAAAATCAATACAATGAGCTAGAAGAAGCTAAAACGCTCAGAGTTAGATGTTAATGCCCCTGGGTTCAACACTAATTCGGCTCTTTCAGTGTGTTGAAATGCTCAGCTCGGTCAGCTTTTGCGAATATGCAGGACAAAGCTGTTGGATGGGAAAGCACCGGTCGCTTGGAATTAGGTTACTGAGTGTACCGAGGATGCATAAGCAAAGTGACTCCATCCAGAGTAAAAGTAAAACTGAAACAGAAAGCAGCTGCCCAGAAAAAGCTCAGGAAGGGCATCACTATTGCATTTAAAGTAAGTGAGTCAAGCTTCCAAAAAAAAAAGGTTGCAGTTGGGGAGAAATCAAATTACTGACCTACGGGTTTTATACACAGATTCCCAGTAACAAGGCTACTATGGTTCATATAAATACACTCTGTATAGTAAATGTGCTACTTGTTAAAACAACAACATTGATTAGTGGAGCTTTAAAGACAGCAGCTGATGGAGATTATGCATTTTTAAAGATACCATGTCCAAGCACGAGCAGAAGCTGAGCAAACAGAATTAGACAATGCCCCTTAACGGTTAAGAAACATGCACCTGATATGTTTCCTGAAGCACAACATTTGCATAGTACCACCACGAAAAATTTAATTAAAAAAAAAAAGTCAGCCTCATATAGGTCCTGAAGGTTGTCCTCTGATATATTTGCTTTGGATGAAAGAAAATGTGCCATCAGGTTTCACAAAAAGTAGACCACCAATGACGAGCAGGACTCCCAAGGCGGCAAATACTCCAATTATGGCTGCGAGGGTTGTGTATTTCCCTGTGGGAGATGAGAATTTTCATTACATTCTCACTATCAGTTCATCTGTTCAGACCTTCTAGTCGTGCAACTGGAGAGTTTCTCTGTTTGTGATAAACCACACATGCCAAAACAAAGACTAAAACAAAGAACACAGCCAATAAAATCCCAGCAGTCGTCCCAGGGTGACTACCTAATGGAGAACAGCATGAAAAATTATACAGACAATAACAGTGTGGAGCCAGGTGAGAAATGTAATAAATATAGCAACAGTATCTTACTTGTAGCTTCGACGACGGTGAAATATTTTCTGCTGGTGCCCTGACTGTTAGAGGCTTCGCAGCTATAGTTCCCTGGAAACTGTAAGGATGGGGTCAAAATGGGATGGTTCACATTTTCATTCTTGCTCGCCTCTTGAACGGCTTGCGGGAAATGCCAGCTGTAGACTGGCATTGGGTTTCCCATCGCGTTGCAGTTCAAGGTTATTTTTTCACTAGCTGAAATTTCTACCGTCTCTGCTTCGGGCTTGGTGAAGGTTGGAGGGTCTGAGGACACACATCAAATCCAATTACAGACACAGAGAAAAAGAAACTTAAATACAAGCAAAATTCTCTTACAAATTTGACAACTTATGTTTGTTAAGACGGTGTTAGAAACTCACAGAGTACAGTCACTTTGTGGGACTTTGATTGCACTGCGGGAGGATTTTGTTCCACTAGCCCAAAGTCTAGCTTCGCTTCACACCAGATCGGCATGCCGTCATCATCCCTTTGGGCAGTCAGATTGAGGATGGATGTTTTACTGACTGGAGTTTGAGTGGCGTCTGGTAAAGTGTCATGATGGATTATCTTATTGCCTTTGTGCCAATACACACTGAGGTGGTTTGCTGGTGCAACGTTAACAATGTCGCACTCTATGGGATACTGTTGGCCCTCCACCATGGCACTGAGGGGCTGAGCTATAGAAACACTCTCTGGCATTTCTGGAACAAACAAACAAAAAAGATAAAATGAAAAAACAAAACAAAACCGTTGATTGATTATTCACAAAAGGACATAATATGAAGTGAAGGGTTACTTACGGTAAACGGTGACTGGCAGGTCTTCTTCACACTGCTCACCATTAGGCAGATTGACATAACAGGACGGCTGAATGACCCACGCATCCACAGAGCTAATATTAAAGGGAAGACTAGTGACCCCAGTCGTAAGACTTATTCCTCCGTGTGTGGACTCCCAGCCCATCCCCTGTGTCTCACTGTACAATGAGCTGCAGTTGACTGAGAAGGAGTCTCCATATTTCACCACAACTCTTGGAGGGCTCACCTCAAGTTTACAAGAGGCACTCGCAGCCTTTCCTGCAAGGACACAATAATTTAGGTAAGGCTTACAATGCATGCACTCATATACAAAACAGCTCTGTAGCCAGGTCAGGTCAGGGGACACTTTGCATGGGTTACACACCAGCCAGCAGTTCAAAAAAGGAGTAACTGACAGGAAACACTTGAAACTCAAAGGCTTCATTGGCATTCATATCAGTGCAATGAAGTTCTTAGCTCAGAAAAAACACATTTATCACTACTCATACAGACTGATGTGACGAATTACAACATAAAAGGAAAGTGCACAAAGGCTATGCATGGAAAAAATACTGTATATAAAAAAAGTATGTGCAATGTTTACAGTGCAGAAAAGTAATGATCTGCTCATGAGATTAGCAATACTGAATATACAAAGTACAGTGCCACAAGGGCATGTGAAGAGGAAAGTGTAAAAATAAAAAGAAGTGTAATGTTTATGGTACATGATGGAAAAATATTCAGTATTGTGCAAAACTGTACAGTAAGCATAAAACTATAAAAGTTTGTGGTGCTTAAAAACAATATTTGTGGTGATGACAATGATATTATTCAACTTAAAAAAACACACAATGGTGAGAAGCACAGTTCCTCCCGTGTTCTCTGATTTGTTGTCCAGGAATGGGATCTAAGATAACAACTTGGTAAAGGAGGCGAAAGTTAAGTAAATGATTTGCAAGCAAACACTAATACACGACCTATGAAATCATGCAGTGGTATGTGATCCCTGGAGCGAACACATAAAGTAGACAATGTGAACCGAACCATGGGCGTAGGCTCGCCGAGGAAAAGCGCTTGTAACGTTCACACCGTTGAATCACGACATGATGACTTCATGTACCTGGAAAACGCCGGAATTACCTGTGAACGCGATCAAGCCGCCGAACATGAAGAGGCACAGCATGGTTTCACCAACTTAAAAGCGAAGTGAAACATAAAATTGGTCCGGCTGTGTTTCCGAACCCGCGTTGCTCGTCCTCTACCTGTGTTTTCTTTTACCAGGCGACGGCAAAACAATTAGGTCCCGAAAGTAAAAGTAAAGTGTGATGCATTGAGGTGCCACTCGTAAACTCCCCTTGCGAGCTATGCAACTGCTTCCGACCCAATATTCTGTCACTCGCTCTGCTCCAGGCCCGTTGAGGTAGTTGTGCAAGTGTGGGTTAAAAGGAATAGTTCGACAATTTTGGAGGAAACGCCCAATAAAACTTTTATATGTTTGCGGTGGAGCAGCTGGATACAGCTGCCGCTTGATTTTAACGTTGCATAAAGACTGGAAACACAATTTACACAAACTGCATTTGAAAGTTATGGATGTGAAAGCCAGTAAATTACTTATGGTTTGGTGTTCATGCAGTTTCCACGCATAAAAAATCAAAGTGAATTCGCTGTAAGTGCCATGTTTCCGACAGCAAGGGAAGGCATCCAGCTCGTCAGACCTCCTGGATGAAGCTACAGCACCCTCCCGAGGAGCAGCTCCATCAAGGGATTTGGGCACCTTTGGCAAAGTGGACCACCCAAAGCACCAAAGTTTTCAGGATCTCCTCAGTTTTATCGCAGAAATATACAACACGTGTGCTAGATGGAGCAGATACTGCTGCTGCTGCCCTACAGAAGGTTGGTAAATCATAAACACCCCCAAAATCTGCAGAATAATAAATGCTTTTATATTATAGGCTTAGATCTCCTGTTATTCTCATCTCCGAAGACAGAAGAATTGCAAGTGCCAAGTTTGTGCTTTGATAGGGATACAAAAAATAATATTTAGCAACCTCTGATGTAAAGTATACAATTATTTAAATACAGCAGCCTGTTACTTGTCATGAACTTAAATATATACTCAGGCCTTTAGTTTTCTAACCGAATTGTCCTTGATTTCAATTTTGTTCATGACAGTGACCAATCACAACCATTCTGAAATATTTATGTAAATTCAGGGACAATTTAAAACCTGCATTTTACATTTCCTATTTCATTAAATGCTCATTTTTGTTAACCACACAAAGCTACATCATGTTTTAACCACATTAGAGTGTATTTAATAACACATCAATTTGTTTGAAAAGCCACATTTTTTAATAATAAAATACACTTTTACACCAGTCACAAATATTTACAGCAGTATTCACAAATGCATTACAATGTCCTTCATTTTGCAGGTGAATTCCAAATAAGTCTTCCATCATTTCCAATGTTTACTTACTTGTGTGCAGTCCATTTACAATACTAAATTGTTCAATCGTTACTGTTTTTTCTTCATAAATAAATAGAAAGATTTGCATTTACACAACATATTACTCAGAATATACAGTTCAGATAGGCAGTAGGCTATAACGCCTGCAGTCACTCATACAAAAGCACACAAGTGTGGAATAGGACAATTTGTCCCATAAGGCCTGAGCCTGACACAGTACGGCACTACAAAGGGGCCAGGCACAGAGAAGGATACAAACTCATAAACAAATGCAGAGTGGCTTACAAAGTGTAGCGACAGGACAGTGGGCTCAATAAATGGTATAAACAAGACAGATTCTGCAAAGCTGGTCCAGTTTTCACACGTTCCATGTCACACCTTTCAAGATACAAACTTGGAAGGCGCCGCATTACCGGTTAGTATGAGAAATAAAACCACAGCAGTCTCAGGTTTACAATATCTTAAGTGCTAAAATCACATTGAATTTGTAACAGAACTACAAACAGAGAGCTGACTTGAAATACATCATAAGGGGGCAGAATTTTATATAAAAATAATCAAACATTAGTGAAACAAAGATGACAAAAACAACAATAATAATCACATTAGATTCCCTTTGTGCTCATGAAAAATACAAAAACTTCTCTTGCAAGTCAAATTCCTTGCTCCTTCTTTCTATCCAGTGAAAACTGGTAAAGTCCAGTAGTACATAAAGAACTGTACGTCTCAAGTCGAGGTTGCTCCATTGCATAACTATATTACTCCTTAAAGGACGAAACACTATTATAAACGGGAAAACAGATGTGAGTGTAACTGGGTGTGTGACATATGAAGGAACAGAAGAGATTTCATAACTGTCCAGTGTCAGCCTGCTCTCTGAGCGCTATTCAGGCTTTAAAACGCTGCAGATCCAGGCGGTGGAGATGCAGAGTGGTCAGTTCTATCGACAGACGTACTGCTAAGACAGTTTAGTCATAGGCAGCTGCAGGTCCCAGCCGTTGTGAGCCACGTTGCCATGGTGAGTGCTGAGTTTGGCGTTTTTGAGACTGTAGCGGCGCATCTTGGTGTTCTTATAGTAGATGGAGTAGATGAAGAGGAAGACGATAGAGATGGCCACGACGGTGACAGCCACAAATCCAGCGATGAGGGGTAGGTAGTCCTCTGTAATGAAATTAAACAGGGAACATGTTATTGTTTAAAACTTAAAGTAATCCCCTTGAAATATAAGTAACTCTATTTCTGACATGCAACAATTCTTACTGCTCAAAGCAGATTCCCATTTTCTATGATAGTTGTACGTCACTGGATACACATGCACAGAGCACAAATATAGAAAGGTAGCGAAATGATCTGATTTTAGCAATTAACCTGTGTTCAGACAAGAATATAGCCCATTTGTATTTGTATGACAACAGAAACAACAGAGAACTATTTGCTATATTAAAAAAAAGCAAAACGTGCCAAAAACTTACCCAAGCTTTTGATTTCTGACATTTTGTTTCTGTCTTTTATGCAAACGGTATGAAATCATCCAGAAAAATGTTGCAATGATTTTGAAATAAATTCATGTGATTGGACTGAATCCTTCAAGAAGCTGATTGGCTTTTGCTGAGCTTTAATTGGGTGTTATTATCTCTATGTTGTTCTGTCGAGAGTAATATGCAGTAGCGGTAGATGGAAAGGTTTTGACGCCTTCTAAATGAGAGGTTATAGATTCCAATCACAGAGACAAAAATGGGAGGGGAATGGCTAAATATAATTTGGGGATTCTTAAACATATATTCCAAGTAAAAGTTCTGAGCAACAAAAACTGCATGAAAACTGTCTATAGTATGAACATAGAGGCAGAAGAGCAGACTACATTAGGACCTAACACAACATCAGTTCTTTGAGAATTACATTTGAAATGTTGGAAAAAAATTCCTTTGAGATTTTTCTCCATGTTTACATAAATGCATCACATTATTTCCCAGATTTGTCAGCTGCACATTCATGCAGATCTGGTGACTGGTGAGGCCACTGAAGTCCACAGAAGCAGATCACCTCATGAGAGCAGTTTGAGATTAATTGTCTTTGTAACATGGTGTATTCAGAGACTGTATATAAAAAGACAGATGCAGTCCCTGGGTTTGAAAAGTGAAGAAGATGTGCAAGTGACCGAAACCTGATTTTATTCAACAGCCAGCAGGGGGTGACTCCACTGACTGCAAAAAGAAGTCTGATTGTATAGAAGTCTATGAGAAAATGACCCCAATTCTCACTTGGTTTGTTACCTCTGTGCACATGTTCCTCGTGCATTCATGATGTCATTCACTAGTTTCAAGTTTGCTTTAATACATCACGATGTTCATTTAGTGAATGATGGTCCTTGTTCGCGTAGAATTTAAAGCAGAATCTGTTTTGAGGCGTGGGCGTCTTCGTCTGTCTCACACGTCATGTCTAGTCTCAACAAACTGAGAAGGCGATAATTAAATTCCAAACTCATCACTTTAAAACTGTAGTCTTCAAAGTAATAGGGTGAAGCCACAGTAGTTGTGTGTATCGTTTATATACAGTCTATGGGTCTATTATAAGGCTGAAAGTAGCCATTGAGGACTGTGGCTATGAAGAGATGCATGTGGTCAACAACAATACTCAGCCGATGACAGTGAAATGATGACTAATTGATATCATGTCTCAAAAAATACACTTCTGACACCACTACACCACCGCCAGCAACCTGGACTGTTGTGACAGTCAGTCAAGGCAGGTTAGGTACGTAAATTCCATCTGTTGTTGCCCTCTTTGACACTTCCATCTGTGCCTCAGCAGAAATCAGTCATTCCAGGCTACATTTTCCACTCTTCAGTTGTTTAATGTGCCTACTGCAGTCACAGATTTATGTTTTTGTGTTTTTTTAATGTAAAGAGTAGAACTGGTCCTCTTCTTTTGTAGCACACCCCGTTTAAGGTTTGAAGTATTGTGCATTCGGAGCTGCATTCCTGCTCAGAACAATTGTGACGTGTCTGGCCATTCTCCTCTCTCCTCTTTCATGCCTCTCTGCAGAACTGCTTCTCATTTTTTTGTATTCATACCATTCTGAGTAAACTCTAGAAACTGTTGTGGTGAAAATCCCAGAAGAACAGCAGGAAATAGTCAAACCACCCTGCCTGGCACCAACAATCCTGCTGCTGAAATCACATTTTTTCACATTAACTGAAGTTCCCGGCCTGTCCATTCATACATTTGCTATAGTCATTTCTACCCAGTACAGGATCTCCGGAGGACTGGATGCTACGCTAGCTGACACAAGGCAAAAGGTAGGGTCTCCTGAGCTGCATCTACAGGATTTTGATCATTGCACTGTTGCCACAGTATTAGCTGATTGGATAACTGCATGAGTGAGCAAGTGTACAGGTGCTCCTAAGAAGGTGTTAAGTCTGTATTGACCACCAAACTTCTGCCACAGGTCTGGTTGACCTACAGGAGCTGGGCTATGTACTTTATATATTTCGCAAAGAATTAACAAAAGTTTCTATGAGTCTGTTGTTGTAAATGTGCTATGCAAATAACATCGATTTGACAAAAAATATATATGCGTTACCTTTCAAAATCACTTCGACCGAATGCACTGTGGAATTCACATCATTGGTAGCGGTGCAGTTGTAGAAGCCGGCCTCAGACACAATGAGTTTGCCTTCAAGCTCATGAGGCGCCTTGTCTAAGTTGTAGAGCCACTTGATCTTTGGAGGCGGGTGGCCGTCAGCTTCACAAATTAGCTCCTCAGGATAACCTCTGAACACTGGGATTGTCTTCGGCAGCTTCGTGGTATTAATGGTAGGTTCATCTGTTGATACAGAGAAGGACATCAGAGCCGTGTGAGGACAAACACTTTTTAAAGACTATGACCCAAAATGTAAACACACTTGAGCTGATATGGAGTCCAGAATTCATGATAATATCTTAATTTTACTGAGAAAAAAAATTACAAGCTCGTGTGTACTACTTATTGGGAATGGAAATGTTTGCTCACTGGAATGATGTCACAAAAAAAATCAATCATCTGTCTATCATCTATCATCACCACGGTTTTATTGTGACTACAAAGCAGCAAATGTGATCTCACAGGAGACAGTGACGCTGAGAGGACTGGACATCATGTTTGGAGGAGGCTGTGGTCCCTCAGGTCCCAGGTCCAACTGAGCCTCACATCTGAAATCCGCTCCGCTGTGAGTCCGGTTCAGAGTGATGCTAATGGTAGAAGACACGTTTACCGGGGATCTGATGGCACTGATGCTGCAGTCTGGGTCACTCTCAGTCCAACAGCGAGTCGTTTGCATTGAGTCTGATGGACAAAAGAAGATTTGTGGGGGAAAAAAAAAAGACGAGATCAAGACAAAGAAGTTGTGTTTACATCATGCAGCCGTTTCTATTTGACCAATCAGCCGTAGAGATGGTAACAGTGGAACATGACTTCTGTGGGCTGTCAATAAAACACTGCTCACTCTCTGCTTTTTAATACTGCAGCGTACTTGTTGTCCTTATGTTGATAAATAAAGACAGATTTAAAATTATAGCCCATCAACCTAAAAGTTATCTAAAATCCTAATTCTAATATTTGCAACATCTGCTTCCTGAAGAAAATGTTGCTTTCCTGGAAAAACTGATTATTATTAATGTTCTCACAGAAAAGATAGAACATCTAAATAAAGATAACCCCACCTGGATTCATGGTTTCATTTCCTTGGTACCAGCGTATGCTGAGGTTTTGCACGGGAGCAACATTGAGAATGACACACTGTAGCTTGAGCTCTCTGTTCTCCACCACTGAGTTACCCAACTGCTGGACATCAACACTGTCTGGTGTTTCTACAAAAATAATAACAAATCAGCAGAGTTAGAAAATGTACAGTATATGACAGTAAAAGTAGAAAATTTGCAATAATACTTACTGTAGAGGATGACGTTTAAAGTTTTATTGCACAATCTCTCTCCCTTTAACTCCACAGCACAAACAGGCCTCGCGTCCCAGTGTTTGTGGGTGTCAGGAGACCAAACTTCGTTATCAGTCCTTTCACCCTGCAGATCCTGCCAGTATATCTTTAAAAATTTGTCTGTTGGCCTGCACGTTGCATTCTGCGCTGTGTTGTATTGCACCACCATCGGGTCTGGAGTTATGCTGATAGGACATTCCTGCTTGGCACCTGTGGAACACAGGGTGGGGAGCGAGAAATGTTATTCCAGCTCAGTGCAGGATAATAACACAACTTTTTGGAGCCTTAATGAAACGGTGTTGAAAAGCCAAAGGTCTCAAGAACAAAAAGCTATGTCTCTGGAGGCAACAGGAAAATGTTCAGGAAGGATATACCCCTCCCTTTGGGAAGTCTGCACTTGCTGCCCACCATTCTTTGTGCCGGACTTTACTGCAATATCTACACTTTAGTTTGAATGCGTCACATTCCTCCCTGGCAAATTCCTCTTGGTACAGTCAATAATGTGCTTCTAACTCACACAGACACCGTTTAATCAGACAGCTATAACAGCCACAGGGTGTGAGGGGCAGTTTAAAACATTAGATTGCCTATAAAAAGTCCACAGATCACACCACAAATGTAATGTCACAGATTTTCCATTTGCATTTACAGACTCAGTTATCAGTACTTCCCATTCAAAGCCTGTCTAACAGTGTCCTTACATTCACACTTTCCAGGATCCTCACAACTTCTTTTTTTAAACACTCCTGTGTCTCTTTAAGTTGGCAGGCAACATAAATAGGACTACCAGACTATAAACCCTGAGCGATCCGTTTCAATCTCGACACAAAAGAAAACATGAGGTCTCAAGTGTTCACACAACTCACTGTCTGTCCCGTTAGAAAGCGACACCAGCTCTAAAGTCAAAAGCACCGAAAGGAGACGAAGGGAGCTGAAATCCTCCATTGGAATCAAAAATAATAATAATAATAATAAAAAAAAGTTTTCCCCCCAACAGCTGTCGCTCTTCTTCCGTTACAGTGAAGTCACTCCTGCTTCACCTCTGCTGAGCCAGACAAGCGGACACTTGGTGACTTTTCAGGGGCGAAAGCTAAGCTAAGCTACACCGCTGCAGTCAGCCACAGCTCAACCCGGGCTGTGTCTGCATCACCGGGGAGGAAACCGGACCTCCCCCCCACCCCAACACACACACACACACACACACACACACACACACAGTGACCATATATGTAGAAGCTGTGCTACTAGCTGACAGACACAGTGCTATTAAAGTGTGTGTAAAAACACTGTGACGTCAAAAGTGAATTTAAAGTGTAATATAAATATAAGATAAACAATCCTTAATAATCTTTAACGGACTGAAATCATTTTACTAGTAAACAAACAAACAAATAAACAAAAACAGATGTCTTCTAAGAATTTTTCTAAGAATATACATATAGAAACTGTACTGTTAACATGACAGTCATATAGAGGGTTAAACAACAAGCTTTTTCTCTCTTTTTTTGTTTTTTGGTAAGTAGGACTTTAGAGGGAAGACGCCCCCCCATGGACACCAAAAGCTTTTCAAAACTTCAGCCTTTCTAATGTTATATTTCAGATAAATACATACAGTCGTCCTCAGATTTATTCATACCCTTACATTAAAGAAAAAAGGTAAAATTCCCAATAGTCACTTAAATAAACAAGTAATAATGCATTAAACAAAAAAAAGCTAAATTATAATGGAAATAAGTAAAATAGTGAAATAAGACATTGCTTTTCAATTGTGGTTGAAAAGAATAATTAAAAAAAGAAACAAACAAAAACAAACAAACAAACAAACAAACAAACTCTCCCAGACAAATTAGAGCACTTTGCTGATGAGCAGTGGGCCAAACTCAAAATACCTGATTGTCTGATTGAGAGTTACAGAAAACACTTTGGCTCAAAGGGTTGTTCAACAAAATATTAGTTTACGGATCCCATTATGTTTGTTTGCTTGTGTGTTGTTGTTGTTGTTATTTTTAAAAAATATATTTTTGTTGAACCGCAATACAAAAGCAATGTCATGATGTTCATTACATTTTTATTTATTATTACTTCAGTCAATATCAACTTACTTTAGTGACAGCTGTTTTTTTCCCTGCTTTAATGGGAGGATATGGATACATCTGAGGATGACTGTACACTATTCTCTCATGCAGTAACATAATAGTTAACCAGCAGTTAGTTAGTTAGTTAGTTAAATAAATAAATGAATGACTGACTGACGATATATATGACTGGTTCTAGGGCTGTTCTAAACTGGCTGTTTTGCTCTGAAAACCAAAGCTGCTGCTTTTCCCGCAGCCTTCAGGAAGAACACTCTGTCTGTTTGAGGTAGCCCCTGGTTCTTGTTTTTACTCGCTTATAAAGCTGGGAGGCTAACTAGTTGTAAAGTTATTAAAAAATGGCAGAGGTAAACGTTTTCATATTTTAACAGCTTCCATTGTACACCTTCAAGTATATAGCAACCACAACACACCAGAAAAATGGGTATATAAAACCAGTAAAACTTTTTTTCTGTTCAGGAATGCAAGTAAACAACTATAATTTGACATTTTAATCAAGAAAAAAAATACAAGTAGCATTTGTAAATCTTACATTGGGTGGTGGTCTAATAAATTTGTTAAGCACTGTAGGTGCTTCCTCCAGAATGTGCAGATCTATGAAGTCCCTGCCTCCGTCTCAACCCAGCCCTCCTCATTCCCTGCAGCTCGGGCACTCCAGCTCATCTATGCCTCTACTGAAACACTGTAAAACTACTCTAAGCTACTCGGTGGTAAGTTGTAATTAGATTAAATCTGCCATACATGTTCAAACTGGAAAGCAACTCTGATGAAGAATAATGACATAAAAAGTCCTACAAGACGGGTCCTTAGGTTTGTTACACATGAAACCCTGATGTCTGTGATTTCGAGGCAGTCATTGATACGCTGCAGTTTCAGCATATAAGAAACACAATGTGGACATGAAAACGTGATTTTCACCAGAGGGGATATTAAACAACAGCTAGCAAATGAATGTAGAGGAGTAAAAAGTAGAATATGTTCCACTGAAATGTAGTGAAGTTGATGAAAGTAAATAAATAAAGTAATATAAAGAACATAACATGAGGTGAGTGAGAAACTTAAATTTGTTCAAAAAGTTTCCAGTTTTTTTTTTGTTTTTTTTTACAGTGGCACATAAAGCACATAAAAGTAGTTTTCCAGTATTCTAGAGGTCAGAAGAATAATCTGAGATGAATGGAATTTAACAGAAGAGAAATAATATTGTTCTGCTTCTAAAACTTCCTTTTCTTTTCTTTCTGTGTTTTGTGAGAATTATCCTAAATCCTTGCTTTAAAAAAAAAAAAGGAATCGCAGGATAATGTTGCCTCTACAGGCCTTAAACAATTTAAAAGTAAAATATATATAAACAAAATTTGAATCTCTTATTAGTGGAAACCTGTGTTGTGATGGGGGGTAGCTAGCATGAACATATCCTTTTAGAGTGACAAGCGATAAAGGCAGAGGACCACTCATCAGGATACATGACTTTATAAATATAACACAGCTGAATTTAGCAGTTCAACTGTTTGAAGATGAATGAAATAAATAAGGTCTTAAATGGATGATATATTGTACGTGAAAATGCACAACAGAAATATAAGAAGATAACAAATATCTTTCGTTTTTTTTGTATCATCTGCTTGATTTCACTAATACAGTGCATGTGTTTTATTGAACCTACCTTTGACATTGACTCTGACTGTTTTGGAGACATTTCCTCCTTCGTTCCAGGCCTGACATGTGTAGGAGCCCATGTTGTATATAGTCGCATTGTGGATGAGCAGACGGGACACTCCATCTTCGTTTTCCTCCACTACATTGTCCATAAGGTAGTAATTCCAGGAATATTTTGGTCGTGGGTTGCCCATGGACGAGCACTTCAACCACACAGAGGACCCAACGTGGACTTCAGAGTCCTCAAGTTCAACTATCGGTGATGGTGGATCTACAATTTAAACAGCACACATGAGAGACAAAGCAAATACACCAGTGTAATATCATACATCACTGATGTTTAAAAAAAATCCTGTATGTATTAAGGACTTACATAGGACAGTGATATCCACTGTGAAGTTGACACTGGACAGACTGTTTGAAGCTGTGATGAAGTACTGTCCGGCGTCCCTTCTTGTTAGTTTCTCTGGAAGTCCCACCTCCTCACCGTCTTTGAACCAGAGAGTCTCAGGTTGAGGAAAGCCCTCAACAATGCAGGTAAGGTTGTGAGGAGCATATTCTACCGCAGTGTAAGTGGGTGGACACGTCAACTCTGGTCCATCTGAAAGGAAAAACACAAAAATATTTCAGACTCCTCACTGTATTTAACTGAACTGTGTTTAAGTACAAGGTTGGGATTTACTTGAGTGTTTCTTTCTCTGAATGTCAGAGGCAAATATTTGCCTTTTCACTTGTACATCACGCACCACGTTTATGTCACAGCCACTGTTACTAATTGCTTTGCAGAACAAGATTTCAAATGAAAAACATATTGTCAGTTTAGAAAATAAAGTACATTTTTAATTATCTTCTGCTGATAATATTTGGGCACTTTAACTTCAGTGTCATTTCTAATCGGTTAATTTAATTATAGCAGATTAATTTTATTTTTTAGTATTTAAAATTCTACTTAATTAAAGGACCTGAGTACTTCTTTAACCACTACATTTACCATTCAAACTGCATCTAGTGCAAACTTTTTAGTGCATCCAGCAACTTCCAAGTGGAGCACAAAAAAGCCCTCATATTTGTACTTTTTAAAAAAAAAAATCCTAAACTATTGATGTTTAAATTGGCATCTGAAATTTTAGCCTGATATATCAAGTGCTTTCTTAGATTATTATTTTTTCCTTGAATTGCCTGTCAACCCTCTTTTATCACATTTTTTCGCACATTAAAATCTGAGGCCAAGTTCCAGTGACAATATCGCAGGAACTATTAAAGATAGAAAGGCCTAAAATTTTCACTGTTATTTCTCAGCATGCTTTTTATTCAGAATCTTAAATTCTGGACAAGCCGTTCACATCATCTCTGATTATGAACTGAAATGTGAAAAAAATTAAAGCTATCATGAAAAGCCCCATCTTTGAGCGCACATTAGGCAAAAAATTGGTGACTCAGAAGTCAACTAGTGATATTTTCTGAACCATGTATAACTGCACATCACAGTCATACAAACCAAACGTAGAATACTTTACATAGATAGCCTAATTCAAGTAGAAAAGTGTTCTGGAGTTTTAAAGTGGAAACAGAAAATATTTGATATATCAACATAATATTTTACAGATATCAATATCCATCCATCCATTATCTATACACCGCTTAATCCTCACTAGGGTCATGGGGGGCTGGAGTCTATCCCAGCTGACTCAGGGTGAAGGCAGGGGACACCCTGGACAGGTCACCAGTCTATCACAGGGCTACACTTAGAGACAGACAACCAAGCACACTCACATTCACACCTACGGACAATTTAGAATCACCAATTAACCTCAACATGTTTTTAGACTGTGGGAGAAAGCTGGAGAACCCGCAGAGAACCCACGCTGCACGGGGAGAACATGCAAACTCTTGAGAAAGATCCCAAGTGTCTCAACCGGGGCGCAAACCGGGGATCTTCTATCTGCGAGGCGACGGTGCTAACCACCGTGCAGCGCCGTATAAAATCTGAGGCAGAATTTGCTCTAAAAATTTGATGATTTGAGACGGAACGACCCTGTTGTTTGTACTGTGGTGATATTGTCATAAACACTGAATGGAACACTCACATAAAACAAGAACCTGGATTTTCTTCGGGACAGAGGAAAATCCCTGAACGTCGAGTGTGTACATCCCAGCATTTTTCCTTGTCAGAGGGACAGTCAAGTTCACGGGCTCGCCACCTTTCAGCCATCTGACGTGAGGGGTTGGGTTTCCTGTCACAGGACAAGCCTCCTCCAAAGTTTGCCCTTCCAGTATCTTAATGGTAGAGTTAGAGCACTGTATATCTGGTCCATCTGAATAGAAGCAAAAAAAATTATTTATACGACTTAGATTTAAGAAATGAAAAGAAAATGAAGCACGAAAAGTGACTTTTAGACAGGTATGGTTTGAGAACAGCAGAACTTTTTATGGTGCAGTTAAATGGTGAATCTAAAGGACAGGAAAAATTAGCAATGATATACTTACAGACAACTGCAGTGCTCTGCTCTTGTGAGGATACATTCATTTGTGGCCCTTCAGGGCTCAGATCCATATATGCCTCACATCTCAACGAGGCACCGTTGTCTTGTCTGGTCGGTGTAAACCTCAGGACAGATGTTGCATTCACTGGCCTCTTACTGGTATTGTTAAAAGTGTCATAATGGATGATTGCATCTCCTTTGTACCAGCTTACAGTGAGATTTTGAACTGGTGCTATATTGGGGATGTGACATGTAAAAACATATTCTTCCCCTTCTTTCATCTCACCACTGTGATCACTGCTGATGGTGATCGTTTCTGGAAATGCTGGAGAAAAGGAAGATGTTATCAGACACAGTCATAGTATTATTCTTGTCTGAGCAAAACAAGCAAAGACTTACTGTAAACAACAAGTTGTAGCTCCTTGTAGCACTGGTCAAATGATTCTGAGCTGACGAAGCAAATGGGAGAGTTGATCCATTCTGTCAGACTCGTCACATTCCAGGGCAAATGGGTGACGTTCTCCAGGCCTGTGCCTCCTCGTGAAGCCTCCCAGCCTATTCCTTGAAGATCATGGATGTGCTGCATAGATACGCTGCAGTTTACCAAGACTGGGTCTCCATATTTGACTACAACGCTGGCGGGGCTCAACTCAATGGGACAGGAGGCATGTACACCTGCAGCATGGGAGTGGAGTTGCATGTGTCATATTGGCAAAATTAAGAGAAACATTTCACTGCAATGTTTTTGTGTATTTTCAGTTGTTTAAAAGGGAAAAGTACAGATAGTTGACAAATTCAAGAAAAGGAAAGGACACTGTAAATCAAAACAAAGCTGTTCTGAGTGATCACTTTTATTGTTTAATGATACATTCCTATCCTGATGGGAGTGGGCTTTTCCAGAACAACAAAGCTTCCATCCAGAGGGCACGAGGGGTCACTGAATAGAACTATGATTAAGACATTATGGCATTCACAGTCTCAGATCTCAAGTTGAACACTTGGCTATATCAAACAGCACTCTCCACCAACAAAATACCAAATGAGGGAATATTTTTTGAGAGAATAGTGAGAGAATGGTGTTCGTCCCTCTAGTAAAGCTCCGGAGAGAGTTTTAGAGTCAATACCAAGGCATGCTGAGTATGTTGGGATGGCCTAACAACTTACTTAGATCTTTTATGTTGGTTTTTCCTTGAATTTGTCACCCATCTGCATTTTCACCTACTGCCCCCCCACATGGAATGAATGCATCTAAAAGCCTCTTGAAAGGTGGTTTTATAATTAAAAAAAAAATAAAAAATTTGATTTAGTCAGACAAAAAAAAAAAAAAGCAGAAATCCTAATTTCACCAGACAAGAAACCCCTTGTAAAGCCTTCATCACCGAAATAAAAGCTTAAAAATAGGCATTCATGGGCTAACAAGAGCCCTTAGAGCGTTTTGTGTACCGTCCCATTCCACACATGATCACTCATGAGGAGGAATGTATATTAAACAGTGCATTAATGTAGAAAAAGATGTTGTTATCTTGCAGTTAAAGATAACACAGTGTTGTTTTAACAGCCCTGTCCAAATTTCCCGGTTCCAGGGCAGATATTGCTCACGGCCTCACAACCTTGACTTTTTTTTAAATTTTTGCCCAACACATGTGCATAAAAAGTCAAATGCGGTCAGGAAAAGATGAACAATGACTGCTGAAAAAGCATCTATTGTGGTAAAAAGGTCACAGGAAGCGATGAGAGATGGGATTAAGTCGCCAATTTGAAGGGGTATTACCACAAGACTGGTCACTATTACTGTTACAGGCCTTCCTTATTAACAGGAAGAGTGAACAATTTGACATCAGCTCTTTTACCAAATAATATATCTATATCTACATCTATGCAATATGTTCAGACGTTTTATAAATCTACTGCTTTTAAAGAATCCCCATGACATAATTAGACACAAAACATACACACATACACACAAGAGGGCAATGTAAGCAACAATGGGACCAGCTGAATCATATCTTTAATAAAGTTAAGCAATTGCAGATCTTGCTTCATCTACACATTCACCTAAACGTTTTCAAATTGTTGAAAGTGTTACTAAAAACTAAACAACACAAAAAAACGAAGTTGTAAAATAAATACTCTTCATTATAACTAATAGCTACACAGCTGCAGGAGAAGCACATTTTGTGAAATTTAGATTCATAAAGTGACATGACCTTTAAAAATGTTCTCAATGTTTACTGAAAAATTAACCCGAAAACTGTGAAGATTGTTTGATTTTTTTTCTTTCTTGCATACCGATCAGAGCCTCTCTCTTCCCACATGACACCGCTCCCTTCGGATTTAAACAAACTTCTGCACCGGTGGCATCTCCACAGTTTTACCCGCCACTATTAACACTAATAACCATGTGAGTCTTGGGTTGAACTGTATCTCCACATTTCTGTTTTTCCACAGATAGTTCGTTTTTGTTTTTTTGTTTTTTACAGTGAAAACATGCCTTCTGAGAAAAATACGTGACATGACAAACATTTACATAATAAAGCCTGCAGATCATCATTCCAGCAGTGAAAGTGGGATCAGCCTACCTGTCGCAATGAGAAGGAGCCCCGCGAGGAGTTCAACAAACAATGCACTTTTACTCATTGGATTTGTTTACTCATTGGGTCTGAACAATGTCCCTTCTGTCGTTTTATTCCAGCTCTGCTCGGCTTCACTTCTGGCGCTGCGCTGCCTCGATCAGTGAATCAGTGAAGAGCTGAAGAGGAGAGAGAGAAAGAAATACAGCCTCCTTCTCTCTCTCTCTCTCTCTCTCTCTCTCTCTCTCTCTCTTTCTTCCTCTCTCTCCCATCTGTCTCCCTCTCTCTCTCCTTCGCCCCTCCTTTCTCTCTCTCTCTCTCTTTCTTCCTCTCTCCCCCCTCGGTCTCCCTCTCTCTCCCCCCTCTGTCTCCCTCTCTCTCTCCTTCTCCCCTCCTTCCCCTCTTACTTTCTCCCTCTCTACCCCCATACCTCTCTCTCTCTCTCTCTCTCTCTCTCCTTCTCCCACCTGTCTCCCTCTGTCCCTCCCCCTCTCCCTTCCTCTCTCCCCCCTTCTCTCTCTCCCTCCCTCTCTCTCTATCCAACACACATTTGTGTGTGTGGGATATTTCTGTTATTCATGAGTCAGGCAATGTTACATAGTCTGGTACTTCCACTATTACACTTGCACAGATTCATGTTTGTATTGACACACATATTTACATGATCCACTGAGCTTTTTACTAGAAAGCTCTGTTGAGGTAAATATCCATCCATCCATTATCTATACACCGCTTAATCCTCATTAGGGTCGCGGCGGGGGCTGGAGCCTATATAAATTTTGTCTTGACTTGACTCAACTGTTCAACTGTAGCATGTTTGTGTTGCATGTTTGTATTTTTTAAATTAGATTTGTTCTCATTGTCCGTCTAATTTGACATTTGTCATAAAGCACTTTGTGACTTTGTTTCAGAAAGTTGCTATATCAAATAAAGTTAATATTATTCTCATATTATAGTTGGAAATACACATCAGTTTAATACTGCAAATGCAACATTTAAAAGCTCTGTTTTCAAAGAAAACACAAGTGATAATGCAAAAATTATTTCACAAATTGCACCGTACTTACTGTGTTCCACTATATTTTTTCACTATGTTTTAGTTTGCCAAATAGAGTTTTCACTGAAAGACAGGTCTGGTGTTTGTATGACATGGGACACATTTCACTGCCTAAACATACAGGACATACTTTAAGTCCTAATGTACACACTGACATCTTGAGCATGCACCTCTTTACCACGAGAATAAACACATCACTGAAATAAATCATCCAAGTAAAGAACACAGTGATGACAGTGACGACATCGTGTTCCTTTTCTCAATTAGCCAAGCAGTGAAAAATGTTTTGTATGCATGCTGAAAGTCTTCATTATGCCCACACATCTTAAGGTCACCAGCACATAGATTCACACCCACACACCACCAGCTCTTCTTGCAGTTTTGCATTTTTTTAGACAGTTTTTTAAGCCCAAATTAGAACGTTTTTATTATTTGAGGATGATTTTTTTATGCAACAGTGAAGCAGAAATGATCCTTTATCATTAACATATCAATGACTAGAGCTTGTAATGACTTAAACATGTTGGCTTATTGATAAAGAACATTTTATGGTTTGTTGTACTTCCAGGAAGAAGCAAATGTGAACCCTGGACTTTCCACATTTCCAGTCACATCCTGTTTTTAGCCGTTTCTGATGTCAGGACTTTGGGATATTCCAGGATATGTACAAAGTTTCCTTGAGATGAAGATAAATTTGAACTTACACACTGACAGAATGGATGTGGGAATGCCGATGATGAGTCACCTTAGGCTGTTGAATTCTTTGGAAGCCTATCTCTGACAATGAATAACAAATCTGGAGGCAAAGGCAGACTCTGTAGGAGGGTATAAAGGCAAGTAGTGTAATCACATCCTCCCTGAGCTCTTGTGACCCACAGAAATGATGAATAGAAACCAGAATGGTGTGTTTGTAGTTAAAATGAGGAGAGTGAGAGCGCTGAGAATAAGCAGCTGCACACAGCAAGTTGTCTTTAATCCACTGGGGGTCAGAGGTTATTTGAGCAGTCCATCAGGTGGGAGCAGAAGGAGGTGATAGAAGAAGATATGCAGCGAGGGAGGCTCTGAAAGACAAACAGGATGCTTCAGTTAAGAAAACAAGCATTGAGATTCCAGTCATGTAGCCGAAACACTTTCTATTCACAAAAAAAATAAAAAATAAAAAAAGGAACCACATGCACTATTCTCCACTCTCACTCCAGGAGGTTTATGCACAGCAGCGTATCAGCCTTGGAAGGTCGCTATTAAAATTTCAGTCAACTGTTACTGGTTTAGTGCCAATAGTGAGCTTTAATCTCCTGACAAGAGGTTTGTGTTTCCCAGCAACAATGTCAGAGGAATTGAAAACAAAACAAAGTGCTTCCAAACAGAACAAAGTGTGTTGGACTGCCCTGAATCTGATCAAGGCGACACTGTGATCACTATCAGCTTACTCTCAACTGAAAGTACTTCCCATTCAAAGACGTGCCGGGAACGAGCTCAGAGAGCCTCATCAGCCGCCTCTGAAGGCTTTCCAGATCATTTGGATTAAGTGTGTTCAGATGTTTACCCAAGAATCACAGGGTTACTAATGGTGTGAAAAATGGCAGCTCTGGTGCAGAATTTCTGTTTCTCACAGGAAAAAGGTTTCTTGTATGGAAATGCTGACGTGTCAATGTTAATCCACTTCCAGCAGCATAGTGGGTTATTTAAGTTTTGTTTTTACAGCGTTGGCAAAACACAGAAATCTGAAAGACAATAGACTACACAACCTGACAACATGATTCATCTTTTATCTAATTTCCTTCATCCTCGTTATACAAAGACAGATTCCGCTGGATATAGTTAACAACGTTTGTGCGCCCTCTCAAATCTGTCCTCATGGTATGAAAGAGATATGTGACATCAGAACAGAAATCCCCACCTTTAAGAAAGTTGGAAGTGATGGAACACCATAGAGGAAATCAACCACATGGTTGTTAACTTAAAATAAATAAATAAAATTCTGTTGAATTCACTATCTGCTCATAACACTGATTACTTATCTGGAACAGCAAGGAGTTTAAGGAGGAGAAAAAGGAATAAGTTGCCTGGAAGTAAACGAACCTGAGGGGTGCCGGGACACAATGTTACTTCATTAAACTTTTTCCTGTGACAAAGAGGAAATGGCGAAAACATGGCAATAAAAAGGCAGAGGACGTACACTTAACTGCTTGTAAAAGTTTGAATGGTGGCCTGGTACCATCCAGAGACTAATGACTTGTTGGATCACTGATTAGGATGACCTTGTACTTCTAGAGAATCATCAGCTTTGGTATCCAGATACTGTTTTCTCACCCTCGCTGTATCTACGTTATGAAACCAAGCAGGCATTTAATATTCAACCACTTTATTTGTGAAAACAGAATAAAATGAGGAACATTCACAGAGCAACAATATGAGTGTTGTCCATTTACTTACTGAAGCCTTGCTTACTGTAATGTGATCATGGAAAATGCATGAGTCAAACAGAGGACCCTCTGTGTCCACAGATTCCTTGTGTCTCCGTTGGCATTCTGAAGCCTTTTTCTTTATCTTGTGCAAGAGAAGTAATCCCAGTCTCAGGGCGACTGGAAAGACTCTGTAGACAAGTTTTGCTGAGCTGTCTGTTGACACACAGACAATCATAGATATAACTCTATCTGCACATACTGTACAGTGGAATTTGATCTTAGCTGCTGGGAATATAACATGATAAATCAAGCAACAGGGCTTGAGATTACCCAATGTGTTTCCAAAGAGGATATTTTACCACATTATTAGTGATCATTTCCCTCCCAACTTTGTCACAATCTTCCAGGAATTTCAGAGTCTTGTATTTCAGGTCCAACATGCTGTTACACAAAGGAAGTCATTTATCCTCCGATTCAAGTTTAGTTTGAATATAGTTTCAACACACTTTCCTTGATTTTTACACAGGCCTCGCATCGCACCAACTCCCCACTGCTACATACCACAGGATAGAGAAAGATGAATTCCCCTGCCAAGGACTGCATTCTTCCCTCGATCATTAACCTGAGCATATCTGGAGTGCATGTGTGCTTTTGGGAAGGGTACTGTATATGCATCTGATTTCATGCACATGTTACTGGAAGGATTCCCAGAAGCTGCATATTCCAGTCCAACCATTCAAAAGAAAGAAAACGTTGCACTTACTGTATCTTTACAACACTCATTCAACTTTGATTTTTGCAAAATGTGCTTCATACTTGTAACAGTGTGCCTAATATATATGTAAACATGTGACAGTTTTGGCCCCAGTGTACAGGAAAGACACTAATAGGAGTAGAGTCATACTTGAGGCTGTACTTAGACACAGTGATGCTTTACACCAAAGGCTAACATTACCATCAAGGGGCAGCCTCCAGGGATGAAAACTAAAGCCAATGCAAAAGTGGCTAAAAACTGCAGTTCCGCAAATGGCCACTTGAGGTGGCGTCCAAAAACAAGTCAGTCTCCATAGACCTCCATGTTAAAATGTCCAGATTTACAGCACAAATAAACACGTTTACCGCTTGGTACAAAAGCAGCTTTAGTCTCTGTAGTTGTTTTCCCCATTCATGACAGCTGTATTATATAACTCACCCTGTTAAATTGTATTGAGGCCTAAAATTATGCTTAATCAACGGCATGTCAGTAACAGGCGGGTACCATTATAGGTCAGTCCGCTTATGCTCCATAACTTTGCTCATTTTCGGATTTGCTGGTAGAATCAAGCACTGTCAAGATGGTGAAGAGCCACAACACTGAGCTTTAAAACTGCTGTTCAGGAAACCTCAAGGTGACGTCTTGGCTTTTTCGTCCATCTTTGTACCATCTATGATCAACATGCAAACATGCTGACAAACAAGGGCATTGTCCTGCTAACATTTGCTAATTACCAGTATATACAAAGCAGCAACAACTGAAATTTAGTTAATTTTGCAGCTATTTTGTTCTTTAAAAGGGTGAGTTGACAGACCAACAAAGATATTCGCAGTCTTATTATGAACCAAAGCAAGCGAGTGCAAGTTGCTGACCCTGTCCTGAGGATGCTTTGGCAAAACACGTCAAAATAAATTATTTACAAGACGATTAATTAGCGATGGAAACCTACCAGTCCATTCAACATTACTAGGGTAAGCGTGCGG